TTGGGTGTCGCTGCTGGCACCGCGATCGAGCAACAAGTTCTTCAGCTATGTGACAGGTAAGCTCGTTCTGGGGACATTTCCAGCAAACTCCTAACTCTCATAGGCTGGCTCACGGTAATTGGATGGATTGCAGCTCTAACTTCTGTATGTTACTTTGTTGCTGACCTCATCCTACAACTCGTCAGTTTGAACGACGTCAACGGGGCTTATGTGCGAGAAGGATGGCACGGAACGCTTCTTCTGTGGGCTCTACTACTTCTCTGCATCTTCATCAACGTATTCATCAGCGGTGCGCTACCCACCATCGAGGTTCTTGTACTGATCGTCCATATCCTTGGGTTCTTTGGCATCCTCATTCCACTGGTTTACCTGACGCCAGCCCACAACTCAGCCAAAGCCATCTTCTCGAAATTTCATAATGAAGGCGCGTGGAGTACCCATACACTGGCGTTTTTCGTCGGCCTGCAAGGTAATGCCTTAGCTTTTGTCGGAACAGACTCTGTCGTCCACGTAAGTAGAGACAAACCCAATGTTCCAACTCTTTTCATATCAATAACGACCAAAATAGATGTCTGAAGAAGTTAAAAATGCAAGCACTGAAGTCCCCCGTTCCATGCTCCTCAGTCTCGCCATCAATGGCACCCTAGCCCTAGGCATGCTCTTCGCCGTCCTCTTCAGCGCCGACGACATCCCACGCCTACTCCAAGACCAAGACGCCCAAACCGCCCCCTTCCTCCGCATATTCCACCACGCCGTCGGTTCAAAAGCCGGCGCCACAGTCATGGTTTCCATCATCGTGCTACTCGAATTCTGCAGCGCAATGGGCTGTCTAGCCGCCGCATCACGTATGACCTGGTCTTTTGCACGCGACCGCGGCCTACCCTTTTCGAGAGCCCTAAGCATGGTACGTAGTCTTTTGCCCTCATTATCAGCATAAAATGTAAAACTTACAAAAAAAACCCAGATCGACAAACGCAGCACCATCCCCGTCATCTCCATCCTCATCGTAACCCTCTTCGCCGCCCTCCTCGCCCTCATCAACATCGGCAGCAGCACCGCCTTCAACGGCACAATCTCCCTCGTCCTCGAAGGTTTCTACCTCTCCTACCTCCTCGCCGTCGCTCTCCTCCTCTGGCGCCGTCTCCGCGGCGACCTCGACGGCGATATCCCCGACACAGCAATGCAAATCCACCCACAGATCCACAGCAATACACAAGTGCACGAAAAAAGAATGTCATGGGGCCCCTGGCGTCTCCGCGGCGCACCGGGCGTAGCGAATAATGTAGTTGCGATTGCGTATCTCTGCCTCATTATTTTCTTTAGCTTTTGGCCTACGCAGGCGAATCCCGATTTGCAGGGTATGAATTGGGCGGGGGTGGTGACGGGGGGTGTCGCGGCGTTTAGTGTGCTGTATTATGTGTTGCTTGCGAAGAAGACGTATACGGGGCCGGTGGTTGAGGTTGATCCGCGGGCGTTGTGAGGAGGTGGGGTTGTTGTTGTGGTGGTGGTGGTGGGTGTGAAGAGAGATTGATATATTGTAAGATTGGATATGGATTCATCACTGTGGTGGAGACAGAGAGTGTTGACTGAGAATGGGCGAAGTCATTCTTTTGGGTATTTTTTCAAGAGGCAGTTTGTGCTTCTTTTGCAAAATGGGCAGGATAGATAAAGGGTTATCTTCACTTGGTGCTTTAGTAATGTACAAAATGGCATGTGCATCTCACACCTTACTTCATTAGTGCCATTCGCTTGACTATCATAGAACGATGCATCTAGCAGGCCAATCATGTAAAAAAACGTTATAATTAATCGTCGACATTCGTGATATTCGTTAAAAGTTCTCTTTAATCGTACACAAATTTCGTCTTTGCTCATCTCTGGACGTGTCGTAGACACCCGTTATGAGCATTACCTTTATCGTGTACGCCATTCGGATCAACCGAGTAAGAAAAGGAAAAAAGAAACCCCGTGGTATATACAAAGGAAAAAGGAAGAGAATCTCTCAACATCTAGTCGTAAATAAAAAAATTGTAGCCCATGATTACTCCAGAAAGTTCCAAAAGGGTCGTCCGAGTTCGTTGGGTATATCATTAAAAAGTCGTGTCTCCAACTCCAGGGTTAGTGGGAGAAAGCGAGTGTCGAACTACGCAGCTCAGGAAAGTGCGCCCATAGCCAGGGCCACGATCTTAGGGTTGGGCCGATCCTTTCTGATGACAACTATAACCGTGGAAAAATACATATCAACGAAGTGGTTCTTTAATGGGCCGAGCGAACAAGGGCTAACCTACCCTTTCGGTCTCTGTCAACACGCATGACTTCCCTCTTGGGAGCGCGCTCAACGAATTCGTACTCGCGGTCGCCTTCGCGCTCATACTTGAGCATACGGCGTTCTTCCTCGAGCGAGCGGATTTCTTCGCGAATCTCGCGCTCGGTTCGGCGATCGTCGCGGCGGACGATTTGGCGGCCTTCGGGGAGGAAGGCAGTGGCTGGACCATGGATAGAAGCTGAGCGGTCGATCTCTACGTAACGCTCGTGCTCGTGGACTGATGGAGATGGAGCACGCTCTGATGGTGCGTAGACAGTTGGAGCATGGTGAGATGGGGGCGGCTGGGCGTAGATGACTTGTGGGGGAGGTTGGGCATACACGACTTGAGGAGGTGGAGGCGGTGCGTGTACAGACGGGGGTGGAGGAGGCACCTCAACCACAGGTGGTGGTGGGGGCGGAGCAACGGACGCTGGCCGTGCAACCGATGGTGCGACTGATGCTGGCGGCGCAACAGATGCTGGTGGTGGTGGATGTTCTTCCACGTTCTCCTCGTACACATATGTGATTTTCTCTGCAGACTGTCAGAAAAGGTCTTGAGTTGGGCGTGAGATACGCACCTTCTTTGTAAGATTCACTAGTCTTAATGATTTCGTCAATGTGCTCTTTCTCGAGCGCCCGGGTGACGATGATAAAATCGTCCTATGACAGTCAGCAACAGCCCAAACATAGTAATGAGTGACATACCTCTTCTTCGTACGGGTATCCGAGATCGATAACGGCTTGCTTCTTCACCAGACGCTTAGGGAGTCTTGTCTTGCCCTTCTTGCCCCAGGTTGCTCTGGAAGGCTGGATTTCTTCAAAGCTGGAAATTGAAGAGCTGCGTGTCGATCTTGCGGCAGTGCTCTTGCTTCGTCGCACTCTGCTCTTCTCACGGTGAACCTCGACCTCGCGGTAATCCTCCCGCTCCCGGCCCCTTGAGCTGCGGTCGTCGAACCTGATTTCCTCGAAATCGTCCTCATCATGGAAGCGGCGAGGAGGTGACCTGCGACGCTCCCGGATAGGAAGTGGGATGGGAACGTTGGCTGGTGGGCGGTATTCATGGGTCTCATATCTCTCGATTCTCTCGACATCGCCATATCGAGGCATGGGTTTGCGGTCGAAAGTGTCTAGGGACGATTGACGACGGATATACTGCGGGCGGGAGGGCTTAGGAGGGCGGGCAACATGGCGTCGTTCGTTGATGTCAATATCAATGTCGATGTCCCTGTCGATAACCGACCTACGGCGGTAGGGCGCGAGAGCCTGGTTGGCGATTTCGGACGGCGTGGGCTCATGGAACAAGTCGGCCGGGGCACGACGCGGCGGAGGGCGGTCGTAGCGTTCGTCTTCGTGGAAACGCTCTCTTTCTATGACAGCCGGGCCACGACGGGCGCGATCTTCATGGATGTCGACATCGCGATGGCCTCCGGGGTAGCGGTCGTGCTCTTGGTAGCGGTAGTGTTCGTAATCATCAGGGCGACCACGAACACTGCCGCCACCACCGCCGCCGCCTCGTCGCATACGCTCAAATCTGTCGCGGTCCCATCTTTCACCACCACGAGGGGGCTCCTCAAAGCGATCCAAGTTGCCGGTCGAGGAGCGATAGACAGACATGGTTAAGGGGAATTGCGTGGCTTGTTGGTCTGCGGGCGATGACGTTGTGTGAGAGGGAGTGGTGCGGGGCTATCGGCTTTAGATGTATTTGTGTGTCCCAGGTCAAGGGCTGGCTACACGTAACGAGAGTGTGTACTCGAGAGCCAAGTCAGCGACACAAAGGATGAGAAGGGGAGGGAGAAGTGGATTAGCAGGATTATAAAGGAGTTAGGTCCCAGACAGTCTGGAGGGTGAAGGTGAGGGAGGGTGTGGGTGCGGCCGGCTATGGATGCAGGATTCGCGACAGGCTTCGTCATCGGCGCCCGCACATGGAGGCCTTTCTGTCGCGTTCTGGCCTGGTCGCTGGACCGTGCCATGGGTGGATGCCATGTCCCCTGGAGGCTTTTTAGTCTCTCATTTGTCACTGCGTTACTCGTCGTGCAGTTTCATGGGAGCTGCACAAGACTTGGGCGCTATCGTTGGGCATGTCGGCTGTGCTGCGGGCATGGCTGCATTGGCTGCCGCATCATGAGGTCAAACAGAGACAGGAACCGCGCCCTTTCACTCCAGAAGCATGGGTTGTGCCCAGGCTATCCTTACAGGCAGGCCGTGAATACGCTCAGCATTGGATGGCAGCCATGTTGGCCGGATGAGTAACGAGGTTGTTGGCTGCCAGTGACGTCATGCTGACCACCAACCTTGGAAGATTGGCCGGCCATGCACGTGGGCCGCGGCGCAGTCATCCGCCTACTCACTACTAGCCCCTTCTCAGCCACAACCCCAAGGGAATATCTATCGTCGGCCCACGGCGTCGGCTGCATAGGGAACAACCGTCTGTCAGAACTGCCTGTCGCCACTGCCCCGTCCCCACAGCTCACACGCAGATACTACCGAACCCAACTCCCATGGGCATCAACACATGCAGCATTCGGACACACATTGCTGTCCAAGACACATCCTCAGCATATGGAAACCCAGCCGAGTCTTGACCTGCCCCATTTCACCATGAAGAGCCGTGTCTGCAATCTATGTCGTTTCATACACATACAGTACTCGTACAAGTCGTCCGGCCGTTTTGTTCGTAATAGCTTCGTCACCTGACTCATTTTGCCCCCACAGCCTCCTGTATCTTCTTCGTCACATACTCGACATCAAGCGGCCGGCCCTTGACTGCTCCCATGACCTTGCCCATGACACTGCCAAAGTTCCTCTTGCCCTCCTCCAGTCCCTCCACCACGCTCATCACCAGCGAGTCAACCTCGCTCTCGCTGACAGTGGGAATCTCGTCAGCATACGCCTTGAGAATATCCAAGTTTTGCTGCTCCTTTTCCACCAGATCTTCCCGTTTGGCATTTCGGAATTCTTCAATGGATGCCGAGCTAGCCTTGATCTGCTTCTGGATCAACGAGTAAAGGGCACCGTCAGTGGTGATGGGTTTGGCCGTCTTAGAGGCATTGATGATTTCGGCCTGCAGTCCACGGATCGTGTTCAACGCAGGCTTGTTCTTGGACCGCATGGCGATTTTGAGGTCCGTCTGTAGGCGAGGGAGTACAATGTTTTCCGGCGCCGAAGTAGACGCATAGCGGATGCATGTAACGCGAGCAGGAGCAAAAAGCTGCCTCTGCAGCAGTGTAGCACGGAAGAGTGACATGGCCGGTGGATGTAGTTTTGAACAAGGCCAGTGACTGTATCAAACAGCGTCGTTGGTTGGACAATGCAATGGGCGATGGGGACCAAAAAAGTTTGGGGGGACAAAAAACGCGCTCAGACGCGAGCGACCCAGCTAGTCCGACTACTGATCCTGGTCTTTTGCCAAGCACAACCTTTTGTTGTCGCTCGTCACTTTTGCAGCTTGTACCCGAGACCCAGCGTCGCGAACCGCTCCAATCCTCTTGCTTAATCTTCTTCTTTGCGCGTCTCCTTGTCATTTTAGTCCCCTCAGTAATAGCGCGCAGCTAATGTGCACGTCGTATCCCCGGCGCGTTCCCCCAACCTCCACCTAAAGCTCGCCCTTCCACGAGCCGCGACCAGCGCAGCGCAGCCTTCTAACACGACACAAACACTGCCCATCATGGCTTTTCAAATGGCGCCCGCGACGCCGCAGCGACCTACTCCCGGCGCTTTTGTCAACACGCCGGCTCCAAACCGACCTGGCTTTGCACGGAGAGGCTCCATGTCGCAACCACAGTCGCAGCAACAGCAGCAACAGCAAGTGCTGCCTGCACCCCCAGCAGAGAGTCCCATCGATCGCGCATCGCGGACTATAAACAGCATGCTGGATAGAGACAACAGATTTCCAGCCCTCGAGGCATACATTGGACGTGAGTAGCTGGCAGCAGCAGAACAGGCTAGTCGAGATGCTAATGAAATGGTCCAGAGGGCATCTCTGGTGAATATGAGATACCGAGTGGTCCGGCATGGGCGCCCTTTCAAAAACTGCGGTCGTATAAGCTCCCCGAGGCCGTCTTCGAGCAGGTGGACCACACGCAAATGTCGACGAGCATGGGCCTGTTCGCTGAGATCAACCACGCCTGGGTTGTAGTTGATAACCAGGTCTATCTTTGGGACTACACGCACCCGAACCCCGAGCTCGTTGGTTTTGAAGAGCAACCCAGCAACATTACCTGTGTGAAGCTGGTCAAGCCGCGTGCCGGTGTCTTTGTGCCCTCCATCGAATACCTCCTTGTCGTCGCAACCGTGTCGGACATTTTTCTGATTGCTGTAGAGTGTCAACGGGGGTCCGAGGGAGTGCACGGCATCACAATGTACCGGACAGGATTGTCTACATCAGTCAGGAAGATCAATGTGACTGCAATCGCTGGTTCAGATACGACAGGGCGCATCTTCTTTGGTGATGGACAAACAGAGGACGTATACGAGCTCAACTACCAACAAGAGGACAAGTGGTTCTCCAGCAAATGCAGCAAGACCAACCATGTTACCACTTCTATCGGCCTACCGGCACTGCCATTCTATGGGACGACGCGACAAGCTGGTATCCAGCAAATGGCCATTGATGACACCCGGAACGTTCTCTACACGCTCTCCACCAACGGAACCATCAAGGTCTACTATATGCGCGCGCCAAATGTTTTGGAGAGCGCATTGACTCGAACACGCACACAGATTGAGACTATGTGTGGGCACATTGTACGACCGACAGGCGTGCTGGACAAGATGCAGATTGTCAGTTTGAGTCCCATTTCTAGCACAGAGGCGGACAATCTCTCTCTAATGGCAATCACATCTTCAGGCTGCAGATTGTATCTGAGCACAACGTCTGGAGGACAATGGAGCGCAAACAACATAAGCGCGCCAAGCAGTATGCAATTACGGCACATTCGATTCCCGCCAAACGACGGTCAGCCCTCGGCCCAGAGCAATTCCACCCAAGTACAGCCATACCAAGGAGGCACAGTAGTCGGTTTTGAATCAAGATGGCTGAGAGAAACTAAACTTGGAATTAGATACCCCCCTGGTGCCTTCTTCTCTTTCGTCCTTAGGTCGCCAAATGACCCGAACCATCACATGTTTGTTTCCGCGCCCCACTCCGGACTACTAGGTCAAAGGGAAAGCTCAGAACCTCCGCGATACACCGAAACTGGCCTGTTTACCGAACTCGTAGGAAGAGTGCAGGATATCGGCCTGGTGTCCGAACCATTCTCGGCAAGGAACGAACCTCTAGGCTTTGGCAACGAGCTCGCTACCCAGTTTGACAAGCCGCTGTGCGAATATGCCATCATCACATCGAACGGTATCGAAACTGTTCGACGCAGAAGACTGGTGGACATTTTTGCTTCGATTGTCAAGAGCGGAGGTCCCGAGGGCGCCGAAGCCGATATTCGTAAGCTGGCAAAGCAATATGGTCTGGCCGAAACTTCAGCCACAGCTTTGGCTGTTGCTTGTGGTCAAGGTTCAGATGTTGGACCGGATTCAAGAATCGCCAAAGTCACTGATCCCGAAGTGCTTGATTTTGCTCGTAGAGTGTTCATTGAGTTTGGCGGCAAGGCGCATCTCACCGAGAGTGCGACTGTAGAAGGCTTGAGCGTAGAGAACGTCCGCGCGTCACCACGTCACGATGGTATTGCCATGTACGTTGCTCGCATTGTTCGATCGATCTGGAATACTCCCATCATCACAGAGACCGCCACCTCAACTGGACCGGCTCTTACCTCGACTCACAAGATCACCAAGTTGCAGGAGGTACAGCGTTGTTTGGCCCAACTTCAGGAATTCTTGGAATCGAACAAGTCATTCATCGAAGGATTGGCTGGCCCAGAGGCTTTGGGACGTGCAACATCACGACAAGAAGAGGTCGAGCTCCAAGGCGAGAACAGAGCGCTCACTAGCCTGTTGCAAATGGTTAACAACATTGTCGAGGGCATCTCTTTTGTTCTTGTGCTCTTCGAGGAGCGTTTGGAGGATATTCTGGTCCTGCTAGCAGATCCCCAACTCCAAACAAGAGTTCGTCAACTCACTTTCCAGGGTCTCTTCTCCATCAAAGAGGGCAGGGAAATTGCCAGGGAGTTGGTCAAGGCTATTGTTAACCGCAACATTGCTAAGGGTTCAAATGTTGAGTCAGTTGCTGAGGCCCTACGGAGGAAGTGTGGCAGCTTCTGTAGTTCAGATGACGTGGTCATCTTCAAGGCTCAGGAGAGCTTGAAGAAGGCTGCTGACATGGGTGCAAATGCTGAGCGTGGACGTATTTTGCTCAATGACAGCTTGAGATTGTTCGAACAAGTGGCAAAGAGCCTGAGCTACGAGAACTTGGCCGCCACTGTTGATCAGTATATCCAGCTCGAGTTCTATGCTGGTAAGTTGAGTAGATCTGTACATTTTTGACTTGCTCTAACACACACAACTTAGGTGCCATCAGACTAGCCCTCAAGGTTGCTCAAGAGTGGGACCGAGGTAACAAGGCCTTGTCTTGGGTACGTGACTCCCGTGATCACGTCGGCGATGCGAGCGACCCACGACGTCACTTTTATGAACAGCGCGCTTCTTGTTACACGCTCGTTTGCAATGTGATCGAGGCTGTCGATCATGCTTTCAACACCCAAGGGCCTGTGCCCGATGGTGTTATTTCCCAGGTCACTCGTCGCAAACACGAAGCGTACGAGCAGATCAACAACTCAGATGACGAAGTCTTCCAAAACTATCTGTACGACTGGTACATGCAAAATGGATGGGCTGAGCGATTGCTGGAGATCAACTCTCCGTTCGTAGTCGACTATCTGCGCCAGAGCTCTGACACGAACCTAGCTCACGCGGATCTGCTGTGGCGCTACTACGCTCATTACAATGACTACCTCAGTGCGGCGGAGACACAATTCCAGCTTGCGAAGAGCACTCTACCTCTGACACTAGAAAAGAGAATAGAATACCTGTCCCGAGCCAAGGCGAATGCATCGACGCGTATGACTGGGTTTTCAGAAACAGGAGTACGCAACCGCCAGACCAGGCAAGAATTGCTGCGAAACATTAGCGATCATCTTGATATTGCCAACATCCAAGACGATGTGCTGCAGCGTATCAAGGGCGACGAGCGACTTGTCGGAAAGCGGAGGGAAGACGTCATTGAGCATCTCAATGGCCAAATCCATCCTCTTGATGAGGTGAGTTTCTTTTGGCATATGAAAGATGAGTTTACTGACATGTCCTAGCTCTACCATGATTACGCCGACCAAGCAGGTTACTACGATATCTGCCTCCTCATTTACCATGCTGCCGATTACCGTAGCGTACCGGATATTCGCTCAACGTGGACCAACCTGATTGACCAAACCCACCGGAACGCTGTTGCCGACCGTCAGGCCGCGCCTTGGGAGATTGTCTCACTGAAAGTCCAGGATCTTGGCCACCGCACCAACCTCAACGACAACGTGTTCCCTGTGAATATTGTTTTGCAGCTAGTCCTGCAGTATGACTTGGAGTTTTATGTCCATGACGCCAACGCGCCCAACGCTCAGAACTTGGCGCTGAATGCTAACCTTACGTGGCCGATTGACGTTTTCCTCAAGTTGAACGCGCCGTTCGAAAGTCTGGTCGCTACGCTCGAGGCACTGTGGTATGCGCAAGAACCCCCCTTCGCAGGCCGCAACCGCAAGCTGCTCGTTAAGTGGATCATTTACCTTGTCGAGCAGTGGGCCACCGTCAGCCGGCGAACAGGCGCGCTTTTCGGTGGACCTGAGAACGCAATTGGATTGGCTGATGTTATGCGCATCATCCTGGGCAGCGATGTTCTCGGACGAGATATGGATGATCAGTCATGGATTCAGAGGGCGCGCGATATCAACGCTGTTGTCGAGGAAGCTGCTCGCTAAATGTCTATATGGCGGAGGAAATGCAGTTGGAAGGTTGCAAAGATATACGGGAACGATGATTGTATATTTGGGTTTTTTTGTGCGTTACCATTCTTGCAGCGCGAGGCGTTGAATAGGTGTATCATCAGTATAGGGAGGGGGATACTGGCGTCAAAAGCATGAGTGTGGTTATAGCCAGATTTTTCTCAGGACATAAAGAAGAGGTCGGCAGAATCAGAATCCAAGCTAACTCATTTTTGTCTGAATCAAAGATCTCATAATTGGATGGTAACAGTGGTTTGAAGTCGTGAATGCTAGTGATGAGAATGTAAGAGCGCATCGGACATAAGTAGCTCGCTCCACCCTAATCCCCGCCAAAGCCACTTTCCCCAAACATCATTACCGTCCTCCACAATCCCCAACAACAACAACACTCGTTACAGCAGCTCTCCTCAGCTCTAACCTCGCCCACACACAATGTGAACCCAACCTCCCCTTTCTCTCAAGCATAATCAAAACTCAACCCCACCTCGCCGCAAACACCGTCGAAAACAATGCCCATCTGCATCTCCTGCCGCACCCCCGTCCGCACGCTCTACACGACCTACTCCAAAGCCGACGACCGAGCCCTCGGAAAAGGCGTCCGCCTAACACAATGCCCGCACTGCAAGAAATTCGCCGACAAATACGTCGAACACGACTTCGTCGTCTTATTCATTGACCTCGTGCTCATCAAAGCTGAGGTGTACCGGCATTTACTATTTAATCGGTTGGAGAGGGGTGATGATAGGTTCGACGTTAGTTCTTCCCTATCCCTGATATTCCTTCATGTCCATGCGTACATATATACGATCTTGAGGGAAGTAGTAAACGTTGATAATGGAGTTGTATGCTAATATAGAGGGCGGCAACCAGCGTTCCATCCTTCGACTAGGCATCCTGCTCCTCCTCTTCGACGTCTACCTCACATGGGCGCGCATCGAGAAGATTCCGCTGCCTGCTGATTCGCCCCTCTTATCCCCTTTTACAGCACCCCCGAACGCGTCGGCGCTGGGGTCCCTGCATAGCGGTGTTACGAATGCGATGGTGCTCCAGGCGTATCCGCTGGGTCTCCAGTATCTGTTTTTTCTGGGCCTCGTCACGCTGTCGACGCTGGCGTTTCACTTGCCGATTCGTCTGCTTTGCGCGTATAATCCTGCCGGCTTGCCGGGTGTGCTGAGGAGGCTATGGCAGAGGTGTATTGCGTATTTTCCGAATCCGACGCCGCTGTCGACGGCGCTGCTCGTGTCGTCTTGTACGAAGCTTTTTCCTATACTACTTATTGTCTGGGAATACGATTTGCCGAGTTCGGCGACGGCGGTGAGTTGCGCGGTTATTGTGAATAATATTGCAGCGCTGGAGATCTTGATGGATTGTGGGTATTTTAGAGCGGGAATCCTGGTGGGTGTTGGGGCGGGAATGAGAATGCTTGTGGGATGGTCGATACTGCGGGCAGCTGGGCTAGGGACAGGGTGGGAAGGATATTTGAGTGAATGGACGGTAGCTAGCACGCTCTGGGGTTGGGCAAGCAATGCGATTAGTTCGTCTTGACATAAAGGGCACGAGCCGGAAATGCATGTGTCGGTGATGTTCAAGCAATGATATGATACCCCATTTGATATTCGTACACGCCGAAAAGCAGAAAAAGAAGAAGTATTCCGTAATGCGCCAAACCAAATGTGCAAATGCGCGCGAGATTCCACATGTTCAGCATCAACCGTGTATGTCGAGCTCCTTTCGGCACCATTCCTCAGCATAAAGCTCGTTCTTGTACAACGCAGCCTCTCAGCATACGCTGATACTCCTGATTGCCCGCTCCAGCTTATCTTGAGCCACGGTACTCCCTCATACGTGTGATCGTGCACACATATTACCGTTTAGCGTCCCCCGTTCAACTCTGGTCGCAGGTCGTTTCGTACGGGCGAAATGAGTGGATGAAGCTGTGCAAGGAAAGTAATAGCCCACATGATGTACATGGCAGCGGCAGAAAGCACAAGAGTAGATCGCCAAACCCTGTTCGCAGCCAAGTTAGCCAAAAGTATCCTTTTCTCCCCATCTTGCCTTCCGCCCGCGGCCCCGCCACCGATGCTCCTGTTTGCTGTAACTAGCTTTCTCGCTCTCAAGTCATCTTCTCAGAAGCAGCAGTATACGTGGCGCACGTCTCGCCATCATATGCAAAGTGTACGCGCTTCGTCCCCGGTGTGCCGCCGCGCAGCTTCCTCTCATTGTCGTCTTGGTCGTCGACGGCAGCAGCAGCACCGAGATTCTGCGACGAGACTTTGGTGCGCAGACAGGGCTTGGATGGCGTCGAGGCCGTCTTGGACGAGGGGATGGTGCGGTAAACGTACGTCTGGTTTTCGCCCTTTGGCGCTAGAACCCAGGCTGCGGCGCAGAAGATGACGACAACGATGAGGCCGATGATGGGGGCCCAGCTGCTTGTATTAGTTTTTTCCTGTTCTTGCTTGAATAGGATGGGTCGGGGTTGGGTGGTATATACCCGTTCGCCATTGTTGGATGTGTTTGGTTGGGGATGCGCGTGGGTTGTCTGTTCCTTGTATGGAGGTGACGCGATGGGTTATCGACGCGAAACGGTATTGATTTAGGTCGTTGGAGGGCTGCGTGCGACAACGAGCTGGCGACGGCGTTGATGGCTTCGGTGTGGAGTCGTATGTGAGCTTGCAGCTTGGGGAGCTACGATGACGCCGGCCTTCAAGCCTCGGGAGTGCTTGGCGCACTAGCCTTATCCGTGCACGTGCATATTGTAGTGGTGGCTGTACTGTCTTGTCACCTGCTAAATGCACCTTTGGTGAAGTTCGCACTCGACTATTCAGTATTGGAGCTGTATAGGTGTTTGGTAGGCATGTTGGTTGTCTAAGAGGTAGGCAACGTCCGGTCGTTTTTTGCACCATGGTAGTTCACCGGAAACACTATGGTTGGCTGACACTCCCATTGCTTCATTTTACACTTAGAACAAGGCCCGGGGCATTACCATTGCGGAGACATTATCTGTAGATCGTGTAACCATCTGTTGTAGATCAATTTTGGTTCACGCAAGAAACTTGCACCTACCACATCCCTCGCGAATGGTCTGCAATTCTTGTCGAATCATGATTGAGCTGCTGAGGTTTGCTTCAGTTTCACACGCCCTGGGCGTAGATAAGGCAATCTCGTTTCAACATGGCATGCGTTCTCTCACCATGTTTCTTTGGTTGCCCCAAGATCAGTCTTCCGCCTACATAGGGCAAGGATCGAACTGATCTTCCGGCGTCGCCTCATTTCGCTTACGTAGCGCTTCTGTGCCTTGCATGACCATGTGTACTTAGTGTACATACACCTATGTATCATCAGCCACGTATGTGAGTGGGTCCCATGTTTAAGTTGTTTCTTTACCTTTCAGTCCCATCTACTCTCTATATTCGTATGTTTTATTATTCCTTAGCCATCGCTCCGCCGACCGGCTTATCTTCAGAGATGACACAACAAGGCGGTGTAGCAACTGCAGATGCATGCAACCTGCAGAATTCACACCTCAGATGTGTGCTACGTTCTGCATTATCATCCGACTCCTTCGGATCCTCTAAAGGGCGTGAATTTCAACTTTTGGAAAATGCTACAAGTTATCGGGAATTGCACAGTAGGTAAGAATACCGGCCGGACTATTTCGTCAGACACGACAGCTCACAGAACTTGTGGGGAAGATGAACAGCTAATGAATCACCGTGTTGGCAACTAAAGCTCCAGACTTTTTGGCTTGCCTTAGTGGAAACTTAGACTGAGCCACATTGTGCATAACACCTGGCGATCGTATTCTTTTCCTTGATCTTGTAGCCGTCCAATGAATTCACCGGGCAAAATTACAGCGCGGTTTGTTGCAGGGATCGAGGATTTCCCGTTTAGCAGTAGGATCAAACAGCCATATCCTGTTTGAAACTGGGTGGTGCTACAACATCGCTTACTAGATATAAATACTGCCAACACTCTCACTCGGGGCTTACAGGTATTAACGTATTCCCACTTCGGCAACTTTCTCACATATGAGGTTCCTTTGCAGCCTGTCAGTCCTCCGAATGTCGGGTATGCTGCATCTAATAAGTCCGGGTTACTTTACACTGCATAAGTTCTCTATTCAGTAACCTGTACGTCAGTGCTCGTTCTTGGCAGTAACACGTATGCTACCTAGAAATTCCAGGTTCTGCAGAGTGAAGCGAATCTGCAGCTTTGTTTTGACGTTCTTAGTTCTTGTGTGACCGGAATAAATCTATGGTTACCCCAATATAGCGAAGTGATCAGCGAGCCCTCAAAATATTGATCTGCCTACGATATGGGCCATCTCAACACCGATTTGGAAACTGCTCAGAAGGAACCGCCTTGTAAAACGCGTTTGAGTATGTTCATATGCCAGAGGAAGGTCACCATTGTTTCAGAATACGTGGGGCTTACTGACGTGTCCTCAGGATTCCTCGGAGGCACTCGCACACATAGGGCTCAGCCGACTTACCAGCTCGCCGGGCCAGTTCCCCTCACCGTATGCATCTTGAAATGTAGTCGTCATAGGACAGTTGGGGCTATCTAGCCTATTTCGCACTGGCTTGTATTCTTCGTTGAGGGATGGCCTACGTAGGACCAACCGTAATGCGAATTTCCAATATTTAATTGGGAACTGTAGGCCACGTCCTCTGCGGTGTCAAATCTCCACTTCCTGCTTACAAACATTGAAATACCAACTCGAGCAGTCTACACCTTTCTTCTCGTCACCACTCTCCAAACCAAGAGTTGTCGAATCCATTCTCGGTTTCATGGATGAAGACATAGTTCTCATTGAGAGTGGTCCGTCAATGAGTTTAATTTCGTCAATCATCAAGGGCAATCCGACTGATCCGCAGGGTCCCGAAGCAAAGCCTCGCCGAGAGCCTGCGTGGGATCCTCGTTCTCCCGCCGCCAGATCAACCTGCTTCGACAACTGTGGACATGAGAATTGCGAGCCACCTCGCAGAGCTCCGAGTCCGGCTTCAACAGACAGCTCCATGAGGGTGCATCCTTCAGGCATGAAAGGCGGGTGGCATAGCTCAGAAGTGAAGCGGGATGAGCAATTTGTAGACCACTGGGTGAAAAAAGCAAACAAAGAGCTAGCCAGTACCGATCCAAACCCAGAGCCTCCCCTCACAAAAGAACATAATGATACCGAGAAAAACGGTTTGGGACGGTCAGAAAGCCGCAGAATACCGGAACGTGGTGGGAAACGTATAAGCCCAGTTCAATACCAGGCTATAAAACCGCCTCCTCCTCCGCCTGTAAGTTAAATATATGGTTGATGCACCATAGGAACCTAGCTAAATACTCTATAGTCGGCACCACCTAGTAGCATGCAGCCTATGACCTTCCATACCTCTTTCAATCCATATTCTCAACCATCAGTATGTTCTTATATTGCTTCTACTATCTCCAATTTCTAACCACTTGAAGCCTCCCCCTCCGCCTCCACCACCTCCACCACCACCACCCCCAGCACCGTTCGACCACCTCCCCTTCATCCCAGAATGGGAAGTCAACACAGCCCACCAATTCATCCCCGCCCGCTCCCTCGGCGTCCCCACAAACGACATCTCAAGCCACATAGTCCGCATCGTACCCTTTCGGCGCAACGTCTTCCTCATGCGCCACCAAGCTTACGCGGCCGACTACCAAGAATACGAGTGGCTCCTGCGGCACGCCGACACGGGAATCTGGTACGAAAAGCCCAGCAAGTCGTCTTCCTCCAAGCCCCCCAAAGTCGACACGGAGCCCTTTTCCACCCCGCAAGACAAAGTCCTCGCCGTGCCCCACGCAAAGCCTCTAAGTCTTGAACTTCCCAAAGTATGGGCCTCGGCTGCGCTGACGACGCTCCTCGACGACGTCACTCGCGGCACCGACGCCGCAAGCTCAACCGGCTCCCAGTACCAAAGCACCAGTCTCGCACAGTCTGACTCCATGCCCCTCGTGTACTGCCTTGTCATCAGCACTTTTGACGCTGACCACACGTTCCCGCAAGAAGTGCATTATAAAGGTCGCCATATTTATAAGCTGATCAAGTGTGGCAGCCGCGAAGCTGCGGTTCTTGAAGCGTTTTATGCGGCGGGTGTGCATGGCTGGAATGTACTGTTTACGTGCGTTATGCGGCTTGGGGAGGAGTTTGAGGGGAAGGCGCAGAAGGTGAGGTTGGTGCAGTTGGCGAGGGGGGAGGGCGAGGGCGAGGTCGAGGGGGGTAGGGTGTTTTATTAAGTTGGCGAGGAGATGGGAAAAGAATATTAACACAAAAAAAAAACAGTGGCTCAGAGGGCTAGGTACAATCTGATCTAGGTATTTCTCTCTTCTTTACGAATTTCCTTTCTGGATTCTGGTTTAGGTTTTATTATCTCTATCTTTTGTTGTTTCAAATGGCGTTTGGGTTATACGTTGCGAGGTTCTCTCGTATTTGGTCGTCAGAGTCGAAGATGGCATTTTGCTCTCTGGAATGCTTGTGTGGGAACACGGCGTAGGGACAATGTCGGGTTGAAAAAAAAAATGTATCGAAATGACGTTATTTTCTTGAATATTGATTTGACATGTGTACTCCTCTTTTCTATATTAGGTGTTGCAATTTTACCTACCTGCAATCCACAAGGCTTGACGCTTGCAGTGATTTCCTAGCACCGTACTGAATTATTCTAATATCTCCCGCAAGACAAGATAAGTAACTTGGAGCTTAAGTATGCCTGTAAGTACCCTGCCGTATGCTTCATACGATGCGTACGTATCTTTGACACAATATGTGACTGTTAAGCTCACAGCTTCTTCTTAGTCACGGGCTCCAACCCCTTATGCTGTCTCGCAATCATCTGATCCAACCTCGCATAGCAATCCAGCATCATAAAGATACCTACATCTCGTTAGCATTACCATCGCCAACATCCCTGCCACGCGCCTCAGACTTACCAGCAACCAAGTACCCACCATACATACCGCCCAACCCCTGCAGCCCCCTCTGCGCCGGAGTCAACTCCTCCCAACTCAGCATCTCGGAAACGCACACCAGCGTCGTTATACTCGTTTCGAGCGCAAAAACCAGCAGGACTAAGGGTACACGCGGGTCATTGCGCAGCAAAGCGGGAATAGCCCAGAGGGTGACGGGGAGATGGTAGATTAGTTCGAGGAAAGTGACGACGGAGAACCAGGTTGGGGTGGCGTAGAAGAAGCGGTCACCATAAGTGGCGACGTACCATTCGCGGATAGTGACCATCCACGTGGGTTTGATGGAGAGGGGGTAGTAGCCTGTCAGGTCGAATGCTGGGTTAGGGTTAGCGGGGTGGTGGCCAGGGGACGATTTGCAAGGAGGTGCATGATGATGATGATTGTGGATGATTTCCTCGGAACAGTGGGGGTTGAGAGGAGGGGTGTGTGGCCATTGTCTTGGGAATTGTTTTGCGGTTGTGCAACGTGAGGAGGTTTATGCGAGCATGTTGACGACAGGGCTGAAGAGAGCATGCAGTGGGTAGTCCGCGGATAATTGATTCCGAAAATGGTAAGATGACAGGAATTTACTTTTTCTACTAGTGTCACGGGGTGATGCTGGTAGGAGATGGCATGGCCATGTGAAGAGAGATGAAATGAATCATGAACTTACCCAGCATGACCGGCAGGTGTATGACGAAAAAGACAAGGTATCCGAGGTCCTTCTTCCTCTGAAAGATAGAAACAGCCATGATTGTTCACGATGCCGGTACTTTGGGTGGATACTCGGTGTTGGTGTGGGTGGGTGCTGGTAATGGCTTGGTGTACGTTGTGGAAGGTACGACGCGTCAGGAAGGAGAAACGCGTGGGGCGCGCAAGGGTCCGTCGACATACTTTTTTTCCCCGTGGGCCCCCGTTTCTCCATCACCCACCCACGTTGCATCTGCATCAACTATATTAAATTCATTTCTGGCGCAAGCGGAGCATTCCCTAGGATTTTCCTTTTCTTCTGTCGCAATTTCCAACGCGGTACCGCTGACTCGGAAGTGCACCGGCACAATTTTAAATGACCTTGCCTCGTTCACGACACTAGGAGATGGATGGATGGGTCAGGTCGTATTGCTCCACGGAATTCAAGATGAGCAAAAGGGCTAGAAGCACATTCGCATGGTCGTCTCCGAGGCCCGATAGCTGTGTGGCATGGCTGCGAGTGGCAAGTATTGTTGGGTCTAGGTCCTGCTCACATGAACATGTCCTTTTAGCCATTGTTAGGCGTTCGGCCTCCCGCCTCCACCTCCAACAACAGAGAATAACTAAACAAGGCCATGATTGGAAACGCATGGCGCGCGCCTGTCAGGAAGCGGCCCGTGGATTGGATCTGCCATGAGGACCGTTGCACGCCGTCCTCAAAGCTTATTCTGCTCGGCTCAGGATGCTCGGGCTGGCTGCCATTTAGCCTAATTTGCGTCTGGAAGAGGCACTGGCGCTGATCCGAGCGTACGACACCGACATAGGTGGACGGACATTGCGGGGACCGCGGAGGATTACATTGTTGCTAGTGTCCAATTGTCGGCCTTGCTGCCCTCGTCTGACTGCTTGCGAAGCTGCAGCCGAAGAGGCGTTTAGCCTTGGTATGCTTAAAGGGCTAAAGAGCATCTACCGGTCATAGCCTCCCGCCGATCTGGGAATAATTGTGGCACCAATATGCTCCATGCTGCAATGATCCTATCACCGGGATGCTGGATGATATGTGATGTGGGCAGGCCACCTTCTCCGCATCCTACATAAGATGGCGCCTGCACCGCATGTTGGCAAGATTTCCGATAACCTGGGGTAATCTCAGCCATCCTCTCCTCCGCTCTCTCTCAAACACCACCCGCAGTTCCAATACCAACTATCGCTATGGCTGGTGGAGGTGCTCCTACAGCCGGCTTTGATGTCGCGCTGCAAAGGCGTCAAGCCCTCATGGGCAAGAGTGGTCCAGCGGCTCTTGTCAAGAATGGAAAGGTCTTCCTGATTGCCATGTTTGCCTGTCTTGGTGGTGTGCTTTACGGATACAACCAGGGCATGTTCAGTGGCATCTTGCAAATGCCTTCGTTTGAGAAGCGTATGTAGTCACCACTCGGTCATATATGCACTCGCACTGACACGCAACAGAAACCGATGGTTATACCGCCAACGCTACCAAGAAGGGATGGCTGACTGCCATTTTGGAACTTGGTGCTTGGTTCGGTGCCATCATGTCCGGATTCATCGCTGAGGCTGCCTCGCGAAAGTACGGCATCTTGATCTCCACCGTTGTATTCATTATCGGTGTTGTCATCCAGATTACTGCCATCGCTGGCGGACACGAGGAAATTCTCGCTGGTCGTTTCATCACGTTCGTCTGCGTAAATTCCATAACTTTGAATATTTGCACTAACAAATCACAGCGGTATGGGTGTCGGTGCTCTCTCCACCATTGTTCCCATGTACAACAGTGAATGCGCGCCTCCGTAAGTAAATCTCGCGTAAATCATATAAACAGCATACTTACTCAGAACAGCGAGGTCCGTGGTGCTCTCGTCGCGCTCCAGCAACTTGCCATCACATTCGGTATTATGGTCAGTTTCTGGATCAACTACGGAACAAACTACATCGGTGGCACCACTCTCCAGACCCAGTCAAACGCAGCATGGCTCGTCCCTATCTGCCTCCAACTCGTCCCAGCGTTCATTCTCCTCATCGGAATGATCTGGATGCCTTTCTCCCCACGTTGGTTGATGCACCACGACCGTGAAGAGGAGGCCCGCAACAACCTCGCTTCTCTCCGCAACCTGCCAACTGACCACGAGCTCATTGAGCTTGAATTTCTCGAAATCAAGGCACAGTCTCTGTTTGAGAAGCGCACTGTTGCCGAGTCTTTCCCTCACCTCCAGGAGCAGACTACCCTGAACATCTTCAAGCTCCAGTTTGTGGCCATTGCCTCCCTTTTCAAGACCAAGGCCATGTTCAAGCGAGTCGTCGTTGCCACCGTCACTATGTTCTTCCAGCAATGGACTGGTATCAACGCTGTACGTATTGATTCTACAGGATTTTTCTGTGCGACTCTGGCTAATTTCCATTCGATAATAGGTTCTCTACTATGCTCCCGTCATTTTCCAGCAGATTGGATTGGTAGGCAACACTACATCCCTCCTCGCTACCGGTGTGGTTGGAATCGTCATGTTCATTGCCAGTAAGTTTTCTTCTCAATCAGATAGAGAAATCACAGTACTAACAAAATTAAAGCAATTCCCGCTGTCTTGTACATTGATCAGCTTGGTCGCAAGCCCGTTCTGGCTGTTGGTGCTCTGGGCATGGCCTTCTCCCATTTCGTCATCGCCGTCATTCTCGCCAAGAACATCAACGATTTCGAAAACCATAGGGCTGCTGGATGGGCTGCAGTCGTCATGGTCTGGCTGTTTGTCATTCATTTCGGATACTCCTGGGGTCCTTGTGCATGGATTCTGATTGCCGGTAAGTCGTCTTGCGCCTGAAGCCATTTTGCACACCAAAATTAATTCATTTCTGCAGAAATCTGGCCTCTGTCCACTCGTCCATATGGTACCGCTCTCGGTGGCTCGTCCAACTGGATGAACAACTTCATCATTGGTCAAATCACTCCCGATCTCCTCAAGAGCATCACATACGGAACTTATATCCTGTTCGGTCTCGTCACCACGCTTGGAGCAGCTTTCATCTGGTTCCTCGTCCCCGAGACCAAGCGTCTCACCCTTGAAGAAATGGACACCATCTTCGGCAGCGAGGGAACCGCACTCAAGGACCAGGAGCGCATGGCCGAAATCAACCGCGAGCTCGGTCTCACTGCTCTGTCTGGAGATGGCTCCTCGGGTGTCGAGCACGAGACAAAGATTGTCAGCACCGAGAAGGAAGCCGTATAAATGTTTGTATGATGGACATTGGCCTATTATCCCACTCGCTGAAATGAAAATCCTCAACGATAACGAACAATGTTTTTGGTTGGGGTGGGCATGAGAAATGGATATATTATCATGTCTGTTTAGGAAATACTGGGGTTTTCCCAACTATCAATCTTTTAATCACAGTGCCATGAACCACTACCTTCTTCTTGCTCTATATGACTTGGGAAAACGGGGACATGGCAGTATACGTAATAAAGTAACACATTCATCATCATGACCATCAGTATATCTTTGGACTCCCGTAATGAGAATAAAAATACACGTGAATTTCGCTCTAACTGTGTGGCTTTTCTTGACTACGAATAGGATCTCTACAGTACAGAAAGCAATACAGCATTACGAGTCAAAATACTTGTCTTCCGTTCTTCGGGATCCCCATTCAAGTCCAGTTTTTTCCCAACTTCCCGTCCCTTTCTTTGCATATAGTACACAGTAATCATTTGTTAGCAGACCAAAAAAGTGCACTTGTTAGCTTTCTGCATGAATTCTTCCTCCAATCATATACTTATTGCGGCGGGAGGAGGGGGGATGCGCAATCGGGCCGATTATTCGGGGGCGGGAACTGCGTGCCGGTTTGTTGGTGTAGTCCCACCCAGTTGGATGAAGGATGATGGGTTGCGTGGTAATGGGAATTGGGTGGATTTTTTGTGTAGTTGGCTGCGGTGTTTACGGTAGCGCTTTTCTGGTTTTTTGAGGGTGATGTTTGTGTGGGGTGAAGAGAGTACGTCTAGAAAACAAAATTGCATTAGGTGGTGGCTTAACTGGAGTACACCTAGGTTTTGTTTTTTTGTCTACTTGGTGGTAGTGTAACTAGCTGTGTTTAACAGGCTTGCTATTAGCAAGAGCCTTTTGTGTCGTTGATATCTTGGCATAGTAAATGATAATTTGCAGCGTAGAATAAAGGTCATTTATTGAGTATTTCCGCGTCTTCTTTTTCGACGAAGCCGTACTAAGACTGTAGGGTTCACCTGAATATCAAGGGAGAATCAACGAGGGTTGTATTGTTGTATCTGGCTAAGGGGACTGTTATTTTCTTAATTTCTGCCGGTTGAGGGTGATGTTGAGGTTGCGTGTCGCCTTGACAGTAGCAGGATCATCTTCGCCAAAGATCTGCCTGCATTCTTCTTGCACTCCTATCTGCATCTCCACCGCTTTTTCTAGATATCCTTGATCGCTATACGTAGCAGCAAGATTATGCCTTGCTCTGATTGTGCAAGGATGGGCTTCACCCGAGTCCTGCATCTGCCTCTCTAGCACCTTCTCCTGCATCTTTGCCGCCGCTTCTAGGTGTCCTTGCTCTCTAAGCGTATTGGCAAGGTTATTCATCGCCCCGATTGTGTTATGATGATCTTCACCTAAGTTCTGCATCTGCTTTTCTAGTACCTTGTTTTGCATCTTTGCTGCCTCTTCTAGTTGTCCTTGCTGTTTAAGTGTGTTGGCAAGGCTATTCATCGCCCAAATTGTGTGAGGGTCATTTTCGCCTAAGATCCGCATCAACTTCTCTAGCACCACCCTCTGCATCTCTGCTTTCTTGTTGACGTTTCCTTGCTCTCTCAGCGTAATGGCAAGATTGGCCATCACATGCGGCATTAGACGAAGCTTGTTGTCTGGTGCACAACCACAGCCCTCTATCGCCTCCATCACAAGCCCAAATGCTGCCTGACTGTACTTGTCCTTCTCTTCTGTCGTAAGCCGTTCGTATCCCCAAGCATGCACTAGCTTGTGCATCACATAGGCCTGCTGCTCATCTTTCCACTGTATGAGTGAGTACTTCTCAAGCTCCTTAAACCAATCTTCGATCTTGTACTTGGTTACTAGCTGCTTCGGCGAAACCAGGCGTTTCCAGCTTACACCAGTCTCGTCTGTTTTTTTCACACCACCCTGCTCAGTCTCGGGACAGAATAGTTTAAGGTATATGTCGTCGAAACTTAGAAATGATAGTACTGTTATGAGAACCGAAGCCTCAATACACTGGCTGGAAACGGCAGCATGCGACGTCTCCCACGTCGTCAGCACGCTCGCGTTGTACTGGTGCAACAGGCTCTCTGGTCTGCGCTGAAGCAGCTCCTGTCGTCGCTGCTGGTATTCAGGTAGGTACGCCTTGACGTTGCTCTGTAGCCGCGGCGTCGATCCCACGTATGTGGCAGCAAGCGTGACAGCCAGTGCTAGACACCCAAGCTTCTTAACAATACGCATTACCTCATCTCTAACAGTCGCATCAAGTTGCGGTATGAATGCATACTTCTGGAACAGCTCAACTGCCTGCCCTGCCTCCATCTCGCCCACGTGCACCCCCTTCAGACGCGATATACCGCTCGCCCTGCTGCTACGAGTTGTGATGATGACATCAAGAGATGATGCACTGGGGATAAAGTGCCTGATATCGATGTAGCCGTCTACCTCTGCGTCCTCAATTGTATCGGCGCCGTCAAACACCATCAGCCATCGCCCTTGCTGACGCGCGAACCAGCTCTTCACTCCAGTCACGGCATGCTCTACACTGATCGTCGTCTCCAAATATGCCCCAGCGGGGGTGTGCAACACAAGCAGCGTCTGGTACAGGCGTACAAGGTCGCGCTCCAGTGACTCTTTACGCCCGGCCTCGATCCAGAACGTCGCATCGTACTCTTCGCGATGTTTGTGCATGTAGTCTAGCACCAGTTGCGTCTTGCCTGCACCACCTAGCCCCCACACCGCGAGCATCTTAGTGCTGTTGTCTGTAGCAACGCGGGCAAGTTGCATGTGTATCTGGTCGTGCAGGCTGCTTCGTGGGACGAACGCTCTGACGGGCTCGAACGCAGCATGCGCAAAGTGGCCCTCGAAATCAGGTCGAGTCGCCGCTGAAGAGCCTTCGTGGTGTGAGCATGGAATTTCTGCGAGGTGCTAGTAGCGTTAGAGGCCGACTTACTGGAGGGGCCGGAAAAGTTGAACCAAAGGTTACCCTGGAAGACATTTGCTCTACCTTTAGCGCGAGTATTACTAAAACGGGAACTTCTTTGGCGGATATGCTCTTCGCTAGATCGCCTGCTCTCCGGCTGCGCAGGCGGATATCGTAGCGACATAAAGAGATTCAGATTAGGAGCTATGAACGAAATCACAAGAATTCGATTACTTATGTGCCAGAGAGTCATGGCATAGCTGTTGCCTGTCCTAAGTTCGCTCAGCCGCGAAATAACAGGCGGGAGCAGGTTCCGGGCACTGTGCCACTTGCACAGCCCGGGCTGGGAGGGCAGTAATTGGCAGCCGTCGCCCCCGTGGCCACAGATGACAATTTGCCTGAAGGCCTTGGAATCGGCTGCGGAGCTCTGCAGACTTGTGTGATAGCTACTGGAGCTGTGGTCTAGCTCCTCTTTCCGATCAGAGGCTCTCATGCTTATCTGAAGTACTATTATGTGCTTGCCTCGTCGCTCGACTCGATTGCATCACAGGGATCGATACTACCCAAACCAGACGACAAGAACAAACTTTGAATTCTACCTATTTTTATTATATAGTTGGGCGTCCATTTGCAGAATTCCCCGTGATAATGCTTCCATTGTCGTTGGAAACAATAGCAGCATGGTATTCTGATCCATCCTGCTTGACCTTTCCTGACTTAATACCATCCGCGCGATTGCCTGACACAATCGAACCTTTTCCAGTGGCCGTCATAGTTCCTTTATGCGTCGAAGATCCCTGAGTGAGTTCAAAATCGGGCGACTGAGCTGATTTTTGAGCTAACTGGGGTGATGATATATCGCCATCGGTAGGGGATGGTATATCGCCATCGGTACTGTGTCCGTTGGTGAGATGTGGAGGCGAAGCTACTATAACACTTACCGAGTTCCATTGCTTCGCTTCTGACCAGAACCACCGAGAGGTTTACGCGTAGAGTCGGACGACATTTTCAGGGACAATCGTGTTGAATCGTGATGTAATTGAGGCTGGATGATATATGGAAACCGATATCAAGCAATACACTCCGACATCTTATATACATATTTGCGGCCAGACTTTGTAATTCCGCTCAAACGGACGCTGCACAAATGAACGTTGAGGCTTCATACAAAGATGATGAAGTGGACGCCATCAGTCTCCATGACCCGTCCTTGATGCAGCTTACCATGAGCTAATAGGACAACCCAGAAAGATTGCAGAAGGAGGGTGTTGAGTAGACAGGCGTGTAAACATATCGCTGGTCATTTCTCTCTTGCTGGAACGCCACAACTTCAGCCTTGCAGCCAGATTTCAGCCTTGCGACTAAAGTCCAGCCTTGCAACTAAAGTACGGCCTTACAACTAAGGTTCAGCCTTGCAGCATAAGTTCAACCTCCAACAGATAGTGACGTGGCAGACGTAGAATGGCCAAGATTCCATGTTACACAGAATCCTTCGAGAGGATGCAAGTCAGTGTTGGGTCAGATGATCCTTCTCTGAATTAACACCAAAGAACTTCCAATTAACCAAGTGATTATTAGCAAATTCATAGAAAGGGAGGTCATGCCAAGTTTTCAAAAGCAATATCGTCAGTAAAATTCGTATGAGTGCCTTGGTACTCATTCGTTATGCTTCAGAAGGCTCGGAGGTTGAAATTACACAGCGGATTGGTCAACGTAGCACCTGCGCTTGAGTGACGCTATATTGGCGAACAATTGGGGACATCTGACGGATCGATGAGCAATAGGCTTATTCTAGCAGTACTCTATGCAAGCTAAAGAAAACACAAGCAGTAGGTTGTGGCCTGATTATTAAAATCTTTCGGGATGGCTGGCACTTCATATATACTTATATGTTGAGGCTCTGCCAACTTTGCTGCAGCGATAGCCTCGGCACCCTTTCTGATTTCACACCCCCACTATCTGTAAATGTCATTTGCTGCACTCCAGCCATGCGTCTACTAGAGGTTGAGAACCAAAACGACTTTAGCGTAACAAGAGATCTTCTTAACGAAGTGCCTCCGTATGCGATACTGTCGCATACTTGGGAGGCTGACGAGGAAGAAGTTACCTTGCAAGACATAGTGACAGGCACTGGTAAAGACAAAGCAGGGTATAGAAAGACCCAGTTCTGCGGAAAGCAGGCTGCTAGCGATGGCCTTCGCTACTTCTGGGTGGACTCTTGTTGCATCGATAGATCGAATTACACGGAACTCTCAGAAGCGATCAACTCAATGTTCCGCTGGTATAAGCACGCAACTAAATGCTACGTATACCTTGCCGACGTCTCAGCCAATACTTGCAGTCAGGCCAGTCAATCGCCCGAGAAGACATGGGAGCCCGAGTTTCGAAATAGCAGATGGTTTACTAGAGGTTGGACACTGCAAGAGCTTCTTGCTTCCTCAGAGGTTGAGTTCTTCTCTCGCGAAGGCACCAAACTCGGGACTAAGAAATCGCTGGAGCGACAAATCCATGAAATAACGGGCATTCCTATCCAAGCATTGGCAGGAAGTCCCTTGTCTGACTTCAGGATTGAAGAAAGACTCTCTTGGGCAGCGAAGCGCCAGACTAAACGTGAGGAGGATGCGGCGTATAGCCTACTCGGCCTCTTTGACCTCCACATTCCGCTCATCTATGGCGAAGGGAAAAGCAACGCTATAACACGGCTATTGCACGAAATTGAAAGACGTAGAAAGGGAGCAGAAGAACTATGCGTAGCTCATTCCTCAGGGACCGGCCAATGGCAATGGCTTACTGCTGCATCTACGGAGATACGTCGATGGTTTGGAGGCGTAAGCGGCTGGACACTATCATAGCCTCCAGCCACTAACGCGTCCCGTGCCGCTACTACTACCGAAACAGCATACCAAATGCCTCAGAGCATCACACAGAATGGTTCCGAGTATCGAGGCGCTGTCACAGTTTCCGGTGGAACAGTATTTCAAGGGAACTATGTTGGACTTGGTCCAGGTATGCTGGGCAACCCAAGGTGACTTGTTAGATTCTATAATCATCGAATATTCCAACAGTGCTCGTGACTGAATAATAGCAACTCAAGTGGCAGTGCACGCTCTGCACGTACTAATCAACAGCATCACCAAAACGGTCGTACTTTTCCTTATCACATCGCAGCAGCATGTACTGCTGATTGGCACATAGACCCAAAAAATGGGGATCATAATGTCACAACACTCTAAACTGAAGTACAGTAGTAAATAGGTGGAGGTAAGGGTATGGTAGGCTCTCACGTGATACCTACCCTACCTCTACCTCTACCCCTACCCAACCCTTAACCATCCATCACGCCCCCCCCCCTTCTCACCAACGACACCACACTCGCATACATAGAAGTACACATTTCCATCCAACCCTTTCGTACCTCCTTACGTAACTCCTCTTTCTCCCCTCTAACCAACATATTCCGAGACGTATCGGTGAACCATTTCTTGTACATATCCTGAATGAGTATCTCTTATAGTACCTACATCCCTACCTTCACCCATAACCCCCTTTAAGCCCCTATGATACTCATATACCAACCCGTTTTACTCGTTAAACCGGCTATCTATCTTTTCTGCATTTCCCACCTTCCGTGTTCCCGTGCTGGTATGTAAATGTATACGGTAAGTCTTTGGAAGAAGTATGTTTGTTGAGGGTTTGGAGGAAAATTCTTCTTTCGGTTAATAAGGGGGGAAAGGGTAGGCGGGAAGGGTGGTTGGTTTTGTTTGGGGTAATGATAGGTATTGTATACAATCCTGCATACCGAGAAGACGCAAAGCAAGTTGAATACGAAGCCAGACATTAAAAACAAACTTTTTTCATTTTCCACATCTCGTATAAACTCTCGTTCACAACCCCAACACTTGTTTCAAACTCTGCCCAAACCCCTCTTGCTCCACACCCCTCCCAATAAGCACCAACTTCCCCTCTGTACTCCCCTCCGCAGCATCACCCTCCAACTCATTAGTGTCGTAGATACTCCGCACACCCTGCGTCAGAAGCACTTTCCCCCCTTCAACCGGCGCCCGTCCCTTCAGCCTGTGAATTTCAAACGGCTTATGAGGGACATCGTTGGGTAGCGTCTCCTCCCACAGCAGTGTACGCAGAAAGAAATCGTACTTGTCTACTTGCTCACGGGATAAAGCGGGGAAGGTAATTGTCGAAGTAGCAATGGATGGATCGAGGTGGGAGTGGCCTTTTGATGCAAAAGCTAGATCTGCCTCTGTGACTTGATCGTAAGCGTGGAGGTCGAGGACGAGGCCTTGGAGGTCTGGGATTTGGCTTTTTGTTGTTGTTTTGATGCGGGCTAGGCCGTTTATCGAGCGGACGCGGTTGGTTACTTGGGCGAGTTCGTCGGGGGTGACGAGGTCGGTTTTGTTGATTATGACGACGTCTGCGTGGCTGATTTGGAGGTGGGCGGTTGTGAGTAAGGGACCGTGGTGATCGTCGTGGGCATTCTTTTGCGACTGGAGTTTTTCTTCGTCGTCGCCGAGGCCTTCGTCGAGGCTTTTGAGCACGTTTTTGGCGTCGACGAGGGTGACGATGCCGTCGAGGTAGATGCTGCTGCCGAGGCCGTCGTCGAGCCAGAACATGGGGGCAATGTTACCTGGATCCGCGAGACCGGTGGTTTCGAGGAGGATGTAGTCGAAGAGGCCGGATTGCTCCATTAGGTTTTCGATTGCAGCGACGCCGATGTCTTTTACGGAGCAGCATATGCAGCCGTTTGCTAGTGGGACAAAGGGGGCTGGTTGGGCGGATGTGGAGTTTGCGTCAGAGACGGTGAGTTGCTTCTCAATGTCGATTGCTATTCTCATGTTAGTCAAGAGCCTGAGTGATGAAGAGGGAATACGTACAATCACCAAACTCGTTGAGAATAACAGCAATTCTCTTTCCATGTTCCTCGGTCAAAATGTAGTTGAGTAAAGTCGTTTTGCCAGCGCCAAGATATCCAGTGACTATAGTGATGGGAACTTTCTTCTGTGGTGCATCATCTGAACCGCCCACAAGTGTTGGAACTTCATCACCTTGGTCATTCGAGACTTTGGTGGTGGTTTCTGGTTCAATGAGACTTGGCACTTCGTCGTCGGATGCATCGGCGTTCATGGTGACTCAGGCAATGGTAGATAGCAAGTAGGGATTGAGTAAGCTGTTGGAAGGTTATGAGTATATATATCTGGGGCACGTTAGAAAATCTTTCAGATGTTCAATTACCAGAATTGTACATGTCAGGGTCTATGTAAAAACACCAGAGCACAGGCGCATTGACCCAAGGTGAGAGACAGGTCATGTGAATGCAAGGAATTTGCAAATGGGGGGGAAGATAGCACTGTACAGGAAGCGTGGTACTTACCTAGATGTATCTTGAAAATTAGTATGCTCCCTAATGTCAGCGTATAGACAAAAGACTCGAAGAACGCACCCCAGACTGTGTGCAAGCCAATAGACTGAGCAATGACGTCGTGCGGAGGGGAGCAAAAGTGTGACCCGCAAAGACTCTAGCGCGGTCGCGTACTGGGGCAACATCCCTGCACATGTGCCCTGCATCGGCAGCCAGCTCCAGATAGACCGAAAGTCAACAACACGCTACACCCCACCCCAAGGTCTTATCTGCGTCGATTGCGAGGCCATTCTCCAAGTCCCCGCTGCTCAATTGCTCTCAGCAGTATCGCCATGACGTCGCCCGCTTCGCCCCGTCTTCCCAGTCCGCCACCTATCCCTGAAGACCAGCTGTCGCCGATTGCAGCCTCATCCGACCAGCAGACGCCCTTCAGCAACCTCGACCATGTTGCTGAGCGAAGGATACGGCCGGGGACCAAGGCGACAGACATGGCAGAGGGCCCTCCGCTTGTAGAACTTGCAGAGGTGTGCATGGCCGCTTGCAAGATGCAAAGGCGCATGGCTAACATTGGGCCAGATTGATTCAGCGTTCCAACTCACGGAGCACCTCAAGGCGCTGCACAACTTCCTCACGCACCCGATAGGAGCAAACGGCACCGTGCCTGTAGATCGAGAAATGGCCCTCAAGATTGCACATGCGCCGGAGAATGTGGACAGGACGCTGTGGCTCTACGAACTATGCCGCTTCCTCATACAAAAGGTCAACTCGATTATAACCGCCCTGTTCGCAGATAGCCCGCCGTGCTCGTCGTTGACATGCCCGGAAATGCGTGCGTCGGAATGGCAGTATCTGTGCGCGGTTCACGACCCACCAAAGTCATGTTGCGCCATTGACTACTGCTGTCATACGCTCGACTGGGCGGCCAATACCCTCACATCGCCAAAGCACTTTCCATCACGCCTCGCGCTGGGGACAGATCAGTCGACGCAGCACTCACAGACACGGCAGCTCACCAACATTTTCAGGCGTGTGTATAGGATATTTGCACATGCATGGTACTCTCACCGGGATGTTTTCTGGCACGTCGAGGGACGCACGGGGTTATACATTTTTTACAAGACAGTCTGCGATGTGTATGGCTTGGTGCCAGAGGACAACTACACCATACCCCCAGAGGCAGAGGGTATTGATCTCAACTCAGAGACCAAACCAGCAGCGCCGCCTCTGATTTTGAAGCGTGAGCCTTCGGACTCGGGATCTCAAATCTCGGACAACACGCTGGCTGGGGCCATGTCTGATAACTCACTCTCGACTGCTGGCACTACAAAGCGACATAGGCATTCGCCATCGGTAGGAGCAACAATCGTGCACACTGTGGTAGAAGAGAATGAAGAGGAAGAGGAGCAACCAGACCTCAACCTCAACGCCCGGCCTGTGACGCAAATTTTTGAGCCCGCAACACCAGAGGAAGGCGGAGAGGGCGATGACGACGATGAGGATGAAGAAGAGGACGATGATGAAGAAGAAGGTGAAGACAGTGACGGAGACATCACCACGATTGAAGACGGTGACGAGGAGGGTGACGAATCCGGTGCTAAGAGTGCCAAGACGGGAGCATCAGAGAGCAAAAAGGATGACAAAGAGGAAACAGTGAGCACTGGGAATGAAAAGGCCGGGGATCCTGCACCTGCAGATGATAATGAGGCTTCGGGTGAGAGCGCCACAGAGGCAGCCAAGAGTGACGGGACCGAGGCCTCGAGCGAGGTAGCTGCGGGGAAGGAAGGTCAAGCAGAGTCTACAGCCACTGGGGATGACGACGACAAGGCGACTACTGCGAAATCAGGAGACAATGCAGAGGCTGGTGGTGCTGCAAAGGCGAGTGACAAGGAGGACGAGGCCAACCCGCAAGCGGCAGAGTAGGAACTTGTCGAGGGTGAAGTGGAGTGATTAGATGGACGCGGCTATTACCATACCATGTATTATTTTCTTTTTCCTTTAGCGAAAAAAGTAGTAAGACACGACGACTTGGCGGGGTCGATCCGAGGGGCCTGTCGTGGATCTAGTGTCAATGTATGATGTATAATGCAGTATACACACACAAGTACGTACAGACATTGGTCACGCGTGCCATGTGTGGTCTTGTGAAGGCGGGTTGACGTCAGACAGTCGTGTGCTCCAGTGCAAGCTCACGATGGGGAGAGCGTGAGAGGAGGAGAAGACTCATCAGAAGCTGGCGTATGGATTTGCATGCGTACGTAACTGTGGTCTGGCAAGTTGACCCGACGTGCTTGTTAGGTTGTCGCCGGCGCAAATAGCGTCCGCGGGGCGAAGAGAGCTTATCGCTAGCGTGTGCCGTAGAAATGGAAAGGACGGCAACTACGACATAAGTTGATGAAGATGTAAGTATAGTCAAGGGATCATGAGTAAGTAAGAATAGGAGCCGGTGGGACGGGGGGGGGACATTGCAGGAGGACGAGAGGATGCAGCTTATGAAACGCGGAGGATTGCGAAAAGTAATGCGTGCAAATCTGTCGGGAGCTGCAAACGGTGACGCGAACTTTGACTAGCCGTTGGGGGGAAAGGGCTGTTGTTTTCTTCTTTCTTTGCAGTTGCGCTCTCTGATGTCAGGTCAGATGCACATGTATGCAATGTACATATGCATGCATGCACAGTGCACAGAGAGTGTGTGAGTGATTGGCGCTACCAAACTTTTTTTTTTCAAGAGAGTCAAGTTTCCAGGTCTGGCGGGCGAGAGGGTTTGGACTGGCAAACGCAGACAGCATCGAATGCGGCGAGAGGAGCGGAATGGACAGCGGCCGAGATTCCAGACGGCGCGCATGCAGGTGGTGATGGTGGTGGTGGAGTGACGACCGGGCCGCGCCTTATTGGCAGGTGCGCAGGGCCCGGGCGCGGCACTAGCTGGTTGGGTAAACTGCTGGCCAATGAGAGCAGGCGAGGGCGGGAGGCGCTGGATGATGAGGTGTGGAAATTAGTATTGGTCGGGCTTTCTGCACAGTATTTGCAAGCCAGCGAGCGGGCGAGTGCGAGTGAGAAAGTAAGTGAGAGAATTAGTGACAATGGGTGGATGATGCTGCTGCTGCTTCTGCTTCTGGTACTTGCTACTACAACAGCCGAGGGATTTAATGTAAACAGACGAGATTTGATCGTCTGAAATGCACGATGCGACTCATGGAATTGGGTGCAAGTGTGGCCATTTGCATTTACACGGAATAGTAGCTCCAGCACCTCGGAGAAAGCGTTCGTTCAGTGCAGCCCCCACGCGCGCCGCCGCCAATCCCGCGCAAGAGCGAGGGCCCGTCGCCTTTCTCCACGTTGTCCTACTGCAGGGTGGTGATATTAGAGCCTCGTTTGTCCCAGTTGTGCCGGCGGCCCTGTCGCAGTCCATGCTAGGTTGTAGTACATAGATACCACCGTCTACACTACACAGTACACAGACCTTCGCATCGGTTGATTGCGCCAGGCAGTCAGTGGTGGTCGTGGTCGTGTCCAGGGGCCGGGAGAGGGGGGGCCCTGCATCTACCCCTCACCTCTTCAGCCAGGCGTGCACCCCAATTCGAGATATTATCCACTGCCACGGCACATGGTCTTCTTATCGCGGCTACTGCGCAATCACTTGGTCAAGTCGCCTGAGCCTGAGCGTCCGTTGCTCGGCAGCCTGAGAGCAGCGGCAGCCCACCAGCTTACATACTGCTCCCGCCATTCCCCATTGCCCATCCCATCCTCTCCTACCCACGCCCGTCCTGCTGCTCCCACACGACCTGCGCACTTGAACTTGCTTTTCCCCACGCTCCAGGGTGCACACTTTGTCCAACCCCCCGCACACAACCCACTCGACGCCTCTCTACAGCGCCCGTCCCTGCAAGTCATTGCCCAGACCATCGGTGATTTACGAGACGCTCTCGCCCGCCCCTCCAGGCGGCTCCCCGTAGTCCTACACACCCACATACTACTGCTACCCACGCACGCACGCACGCACGCGCGCGCACACACACTTGCCACACCACCACCACTACCACTACCCTTGATTAGTACCTGAATCTACTCGACACCCCTCTTGTTCATTTCTCCACAACTCCCTCCCAAGAAATACCCCCTCGATTTTCTCGTGCATCTGCATTCCACGCAGCGTGATTTCCAAAAACAGCATGCTCGCCCACCACCCAGCGTCTCTTGACTAACATCAACATCCATTGTTTGCCAACAACCCGACACGCGAGTCGTCCCGCCACCGGCCCGCCCAACCACGCGCACATCCTGCTAAAGCCCGCGACACACGACCTTGGCCCCGATTTCCCTTTCCCCGCTGGCTATGACGGCGCAAATCCTCCACATGCATCCTGCGCACGCGTCGGATTTGGGAAAGATCCAGACGCATTTTGGAGACAAAATGGACAGCGCTGTCGGTGCTGCCAGCGAGCCCCCGACCCCCGCCTCGCCTGACAGCGGCGAAGCCCGCGGCCGTCGACGCGACAGGGACGACGATGGCGACACGGGCGATGGCGAGGGCGACGGCCATGGCTCCTCGAGAAAGAGGCGGCGCAGCAGAAAGGGCCTCGACAAGAAGTTTGAGTGCCCCCACGAGGGCTGTGGCAAGAGTTACTCCCGCGCAGAGCATTTGTACCGCCACCAACTGAACCGTGAGTTGCATCATTTATCATCATGTCCTGGCAGAGCTGCAACCGGCAGCACATTTGATTGTCCATGGAAACATAATTACTTGGAGTAGCCATGATGCTAATGCTGTGCGCAGACAACCCAAAGCAAATATACCACTGCGATTTCCCCGACTGCCATCGCTCCTTTGTGCGACAAGACCTCTGCGCGCGCCACAAGGAAAGACACACGGCCCGGGGTTCCCAATTGCTGCGCAAAGACACTTTCAACATGCATAACCTAAACCCCATCGTGACTGCTGCATTGGGAGGAAAGAGCGCACCGCCTCCCAAAGCGCTGAGCATGAAGAGCCAAGGACCACATGGCCTGCAATCTCCAGCTTCTGCATCTTCCAACGGAGGACCCGGCGCGCAAATGTCTCCGCCAAACTTCCAGTCGCCAACCCCAACCACAGCAACGCATAGCAGGCAAGACTCGCTGCAAAGAACGGGGAGCGATGATGCCTACCGAGGGAGCTCGGAGGCCAAGCCTTATGATATGCAGGCTCAGAATTCAGGGAACTTTGCACCCCCACCCCGTCCGGCCGCATTGGGTAATTACGGGGGAGGCCGGACGCCTCTCCACAACTCCCCACATGTGGGTAATGGCAGCTTCACACGGCCCGAGCTACGCGCGCAGACGTCAAACGTGAGTTCATACAGCTCAACGTCACCCTACAGTTCAACCGTCACTCCATCGCCATATACCCCCTCGGGCTCGTCGACCAGCTATCAAAACAGCGCAAGTGCGTATCAATCAGTACAAAATTTCCCAGCGTTCTCCTCCTTACCACCACCAGAATACCCACAATCCACTGGCACCCCTGCGTCTCGAGAACATGAAAACCAATACTACAATGGCTCGTCCGCACAGACTCCCGTCAATGGCGTCGATTCTTCAGCTCAGATGGACAACCGCATGCAGGGTGTATCGGACGCCATGATGGACCAGAACCCTGCATACTCCATACCAATGTTTGGTAGCGCTGGATACAGTCGATCACCATTCGCCATGGCAGACGACTTTGCTGCATGGCTGTTCAACGACAACCAGTTTAACCCAAGAGGTGGATCGCCCATGGACTATCCTGGCGGAGTCAGCTCTACAGGGGGTGCATCAAGTCAAATTGGTCTTCAAGCTCCGTACTTCAACTATGATCCCTCGGTGGCTGGCTATCTGAACAACCCTGCACCGCCTTCCCACCCCATGGCTGTTCACAGCATCTTGGACACCACCCTTCCAGAATCAGCCCTGTCAGAAGAGAAGCGCAAAGACCTCATTGACTTGATTCATCTCCGTTTCAACGAGACTGACCATGCACCGGTCAAGAAGCAAAAAGAGGAAATTATGGATGGCGACAAGGACGATAGCCGTCACGTCCTGAGTCTTCACATGATGCAGACGTACATTAGCTCGTACTGGGTTCACTTCCACCCGCAGCTGCCGATACTGCACAAGCCAACCTTTAACGCGAGTACTTGCCCAGACCTCTTGCTGCTCGCTATCATGTGTCTCGGAGCATCTTGTCTGGAGAAGACGTACGGCCGGGAAACGACACAAGCGTGTGCTGAGCTGGCCAACTTCTTTGCCTGGCACTTGCGCTGGGAGATGTTTATGGATGCCGATTTCCGCCCACCCGCCAAACTTTGGATCTTCCAGGGGCTGCTCCTACTCGAGAGCTTTGAAAAGATGTACTCGACACGCCCACTGCACGAAAGAGCGCATATCCACCATGCGACGACATTGACGCTGATGAGGCGAGGAAGCTCGTTGATTGGCCGTTCGGCCATGGACTCACCTCCCAGCGTCAAGGACGGCAAAAGCAACGGAATTGCAAACACGCCAGACGAATGGTGGAACCACTGGATCACCAATGAGGCTACTCGGAGAGCTGCCTTTGCGGCCTTCGTCATGGACAGCATCCACGCCACCATGTTTGGTCACAGCGCTGTTATGGTCGCTCACGAGATGCGTCTTCCTTTGCCCTGTGACGAAGCCTTGTGGTCTGCGACGAGCAGTTCCGAAGTGGGTCGGGTTGAGCAGACTCTAACATCAAACGGGATCAAGCCGATGTCGTTCCTTGATGGCCTTAAGAAGACACTCAATGGACAGTCGGTCCGCACAAACTCGTTTGGGCGCACCATCCTCATGGCCGGCCTGCTGAGTGTATCATGGCACATGAATCAGCGAGATTTGCAGGTCAGCTCTCTTGGTGTGACGACAGCGTTGGGTGGGCGCGATAAATGGCGAGGTTCCCTCACTCGGGCGTTCGATTTCTGGAAGCAGGACTTTGACAACTCACTCAACCGATCGGACGAGTCGTCTTCCTCCAACTCACACAACCATTCTCGGGGTATCGACGACGATATTGTCTTCGAGTCACGCACTGTCCTCCACCACCTGGCGCACATGGCTATGCACGTGGATATTGTCGATTGCCAAATTTACGCTGGAGCACCCAGACTGCTCGGCAGGTCGATAACGCCACAAGACTACAATGGCGCTCAACGCCGGATGAAGGATGTATGGGCCCCCACCGCCCGAGCCCGGGACGCCACCTTTTACGCTCTGCGCTTCCTGTCTAGCGTCATGGTTGCTGGGGATCATAGTCTGAATCCCAGCACCCCAGCAACTGCTGGCATCTCTTACTCTGCACGCGACGATTACCTCCTCAATCGACCATGGGTGCTGTACTTTGCCACATTGATTGTGTGGTCGTACGGATTCGCACTCGACGGGCCAGTCAAGGAACCTTATCAGCTCCCTACTTACGACGACAAGGTCAGAGACATGGTCTTGTATCTCAACCGTGTTGGTGGAGTCAGGTCGCCCGAGGACTTGAGCAAGGTCACCAACCGCAATGCCTGTCTGGGATTGCTCATCATCATGAGGGACATGTTCAAGAAGACAAGATGGGAGTTGCTGCACGAGGCAAGCAACTTGCTGAACAAGTGCATTGAGATGCTCATTCCAGGTGCAACCGTGGTATAAACACATGGATGGATGATGATATTATTCTTTTGCTTCTCAAGACCGCAACATTGGATCTGACCAGCAAATCTAGGGGGTCAGGTATTATGTTTATCACGAGGTTATGGTATGCCATGTATATGCTATTTAAGGTCTGTCTTTTCTGCTGTATTTGCATTCTAGCGAAGGAGTGTTGTTTTATATGGTCTTTTTAATCTTCATTTTTAAGGCAGCACATGGCTATTTGGAGGATGGAATGTGGGAGGGATACTGCTGAGCTACTTGCTTTATACCCCGGACTGGTGTGTGCTCATGCGGCATGAGAATAAATCTTTGCTTTCGACTATATGAGGAGTATTTGAATCTGGACTCTGTTTGAATTAAAGTGACATGATGAATAGAATGCATATACTAACTCATGTAATTACTGTGTTTGCCATTTTTTTGAAAGTGTATGGGGTTAGTCACTGGAGTCTCTGCACGTGAGAGCGCGGCAGCGCGTCGGACAGGGCTTTCGCGTCGTTAAATGTACGTCGCCACAGCCACTAGGACTGTAAAAGTACAATATCCAACACATCTCGTACCATCTACAAACAAGCAAGTAAATGCTTGAGAAGAATCCTTCGTGAGCATAGCAAAAGCACTGTCCTTGCGCCATTGCGTCATCGATTCTTGAGCGTAGTTGTGATCAGTGCTGTTGGCTAACCAGAACACAACAATGCGACGACTATGCCTCGAATGAAGGCTGCCACTGTTTTGGACCAGAGAGTAAGGAGGGGGAAACGGAAAAACTGCGAAGACGACGAGGCCCAGGCCACGACTACGACGAGCGTCCCTACAAAGACACACGACGGAGGGAAGAAGCCGCGGCGAGCCCCAAAGAAAGCTGGTGCTGATAAACCGCCCCTCGTGCGCCATGGATCGTCCACGCTTGTCGAAACCTCGATACCATGGCCGGAGCACTTTACAAAGCTTGCTCAAGTACATCGCGCGGTAAACCTAGTATATACTTTTCTATGCACGCGCAAACATCTAGCGACGACGCTGGACAATCTCAAGAGCACGGTCGAGGGCAACATACAACGCGAGCTGTTGATTGAGGATGTGGCTCAAATCACGGCATTGATCCCAAAGGCGATCAACTTTGCGTACGTGGACGAGGCAATGCTGCAGATCAATTTGATGGGCTCGGAAGACAATATGCACGGGAGGCGCACAACCGACTTCGCCATACTCGGGCCTGAGCCAGAAAAGGGCGAACATAAGGAGGTGTTGCTCTTTGAGTTCATCGATGGCGATCTGAGGCGTCAGGTTCAGCATAAGAAGACCGGGGAGCCTACCAACGCCACGACGAAGCTGCGCCATGAAGAACTCAAGATGCCGGTGTTTAGCCAGAAGCAGATGATGAATCTGATTGAGAAGAGGAATGCCAAGTTTACGTCGGCAGTCAATGCCTTCTTGAATCAATGCGCTGAGGATGGCGTCGATGCTGTAGAAAAGATCAAGGAAGTATCTCAGGCTTTCATTCCGATGCCGTCTGAGAGTAGGGCGTCGACCCCGGGTCCAGAGAGGTCACTGTTACCGTCTTCGATACCTGCCGAACGCAAGTCTATTCCAGATATTCTCAACGAGATTAAGACTCTCGAATGGTACACCGGCCAAATCGTGCCAGACGGTCATCGAGTTTTCGATCCGCAGGAACCTGTGCACGGAGACCTCAACTTCGCCATGTCACAAAACCTCGTCAACGCCCTCTACAACACGAGGAATATCACTCAGCTATACGCACACCAGGCAGAGGCTATCAATAATCTCTACGATGGGCACAATGTGATTGTTTCTACCTCGACAAGCTCTGGAAAATCGTTGATTTACCAAATACCCGTTCTACATCAGCTGGAGCAGGAGCCGGATACCAGGGCTATGTACATCTTCCCTACCAAGGCACTAGCTCAGGATCAGAGGAAGAGCATGAAGGAGCTTCTGCGGTTCATGCCTGGGTTTGAAGACGTTCTGGTTGAGACTTTTGATGGCGACACGCCGATGGGTGATCGAAATTACATCCGCGATGAGGCGCGCATCATCTTCACGAACCCTGACATGCTGCACATTACTATACTACCGCAAGAGGATTCCTGGCGCACTTTTTTGCAGAACCTGCGGTTTGTGGTTGTTGACGAACTGCATGTGTACAATGGACTATTCGGAGCACATATGGCTTTCATCATGCGGCGCCTACGAAGGGTATGTGCGGCAGTGGGAAACCGTCATGTCAAGTTTATTTCTTGCTCGGCTACGGTTGCAAATCCCGAGGAACACATGAAGACCATCTTTGGGGTTGAGCAAGTCAAACTGACAGACTTTGATGGTTCGCCGTCTGGTCGCAAGGAGTTTCTTTGCTGGAACACGCCGTTCAAGGACCCTGGCGATCCCACGTCTGGACGTGGTGATTGCATGGCTGAGACTGCAAAGCTGTTTTGTCAACTTATGCTCAGAGGTGTACGGACTATTGCGTTTTGTCGCATACGAAAACAATGCGAGGCGCTGATGGTGGCTGTCAAGACGGAGTTGACGAACTTGGAACGACCAGAGGTCATCCCGCGTGTCATGTCGTATCGAGGTGGATACACGCCGCAAGACAGACGAGAGATTGAGCGAGAAATGTTTGATGGCAAACTCTGTGGTGTCGTGGCTACTAGTGCACTTGAACTCGGTGTGGATATTGGATCTTTGGACGCTGTCATCACAGTCGGCTTTCCCTACACCATTGCCAATCTCCGACAACAGAGTGGACGTGCTGGCCGAAGGAACAAGGATTCTTTGTCTGTTCTGGTTGGAGATTCCTTCCCTACGGATCAGTACTACATGTCGAACCCAGATGAGATCTTCACAAAGCCAAATTGCGCGCTTCAGGTGGATCTGGAGAACATGCTTGTCGTCGAGGGCCATATTCAGTGTGCTGCTTATGAAATGCCAATCAATGTGGAGACTGATGCGGAATATTTTGGCTCTCTGCTTTCCAAGATTGCTCGCGAGCGTATGCGTCGCGACAAGGATGGCTTTTACCACGTTAATGAGCGGTTCCTCCCACAGCCGTCTCGTACGGTGGCTATCCGGGATACAGAAGAAGATCATTTTGCTATCATCGACACTACAAACGGCAAGAACACTGTGCTTGAAGAGCTCGAAGCCAGTCGTGCCTTTTTCACGCTCTACGACGGCGGCATTTTCTTGCACCAGGGCAACACTTATCTGGTCAAGGAATTCTCCCAGGAGCGGATGCTGGCAAAGGTCGAGTACGTCAAGGTGGACTGGACGACTCAGCAGCGTGACTACACGGACATTGATCCTGTCGAGACAGAAGCCATCCGCCGCATTCCAGGCTCACGGTCAAAAGCCTTTTACGGCCCGATCAAGATCAAGCAGGTTGTGTACGGCTTCTTCAAGATCGACAAGCGCCGGCGGATATTAGACGCGGTGCAAGTCGACAACCCGCCCATTATCCTCTTCAGCAAGGGCATGTGGCTTGACGTGCCGAAGTCCGCTATGGATATTCTAAAGTCCCGGCGGCTCAACATTGCAGCTGGCATCCATGCTGCTGAGCACGCGGTCCTATGTCTAATGCCGAACTTTGTCATTTCCATGCCGGGCGACGTCCGGACGGAATGCAAAGTGCCCGAGAAGGAGTTTCTGCAAAAGGAATCGACGAGGAAGCGGCCGGCTCGGCTGACTTTTTACGACGCGAAGGGGGGCGCGAGTGGCTCTGGGATTAGCACAAAGGCTTTTGAGTTTATTGATACGTTGCTGCAGCAAGCGTGTCAGAGACTAACGAGTTGTCACTGTTTGCAAGGATGCAACGAGTGCTGTAATGACGATGCGTGCAAGCAGGCGAATCAGGTCATGTCAAAGGCTGGTGCTATGGTCATCATCATGTGTTTGTTGGGCAAGGAAAAACAAATTGATATCGACAGCTTGCCATGGGGCGAGGAAGACGTTGAACAGGGCTTTGACACGGTGGTCGAGGCTGTGGGTGTGAGGATGGCTGAAGGCAAGGTTAGGGATGGTGGCACGCTGCCTGGGGAGGAAGACGATGAGAAGATGGTAAGAGCAAAACTGGTGGACGGAGTATGGATCAAGGAGGAGGAAGAGGAAGAGGACCACTTTAGTAGGAGTATACACATGTATCGGGGTGAGAGGACGTTTATTGGAGTGCATAGATAGAGGGTTTGTATGGCACACAGCCGCGATGTACAACCAATGACGAATACAATGTAAACATCAACATGCCACAGCGCCTAACAAAGCCATGTTGTCAGCGATGTAGCGCTTATACTTGGTTGACAGCCAGTGATGTGTAGCCGCGGATAGTCGTACACCGCTGGTTGCTGAGACGACGACGCTTCCGCCCTTGGCAGACATTATTTTGCGCTCGTCGCACCATACGGTCCAGGCTCAGGCTACATCAACAGGCGCCCCTTCAACACCAACTCGAAAGCCTCACACCGCCCTATCCACTCCAGATTTCGGACTTCCTTTCTGAACACCTGCCGAGCACCTTTGCACCACCCACACTCCCTCCAAACAAACTACATCTTCACAATGGTATGTAACTGACATTTTGTATCTGGTGTATCCCTGGAAAAGAGACGGTGGCATGTACACTGGCACACGAGGCCTGCCCCGCACCCGCACCGCCGCCCCCGTCTGTACCCCTTTGCACCCCGCAAGGGCGAGCAAACCCGCCGTGCAAATGGCGTGTTGGACGCCAAGCAGTGAGTGCCGGAGATAGAACGACGCTGCCCGTTCAAACGGACCACAGCAGGTGCAGCAAGGGCGAAAACAAGGCGACGAGAGACGAGCAAACGATTACTTTTTTGCCTCACCTGGCTACACCAAAACGCCTCCCCGCGGCTTAAACATTACAAACACACACGCAACAAACTCCGACTCCGACCACCGAACTCGTTGCCTTGTTTGCCTTTGCCACACACACACACACACACAACAAACATCCGTCTCTCTCCGTCTTCGGCACTCCAACCACCGTTCTCTTTTCACACGTACCCGAAAAAGACCGACGCCGACTAGAGATTTTGTCGCGGAAAGTGTAAAGAACAATGGATAACAGTAACCAGGCCTCCACCAACTACCGCGAAGCCTTCCAGCTCTTCGACAAGCGCGGCAACGGCCGTGTCGACCGCGGCGCGCTGGGCGACTTGCTTCGTGCCTGCGGCCAGAACCCTACTTTGGCCGAGATTGCCGATTTGGAGCGTGGTCTCGGAGCTGACTGTATGTTCTCTATTTACCCTTTCCTTTCACCCACCTTCACCTAGTCTTGCATGGTTATATCCGGCTAACTCGATAACAGTCGACTTCGACACCTTCTCCAAGATCCTCAACCGCCCCGGCGGCTTCCGCGAGCCCTTTGACATTGAAGAATACATCCGCGGGTTCCAGGTGTTCGACAAGGATCGCAGCGGGTTCGTCGGCAAGGGTCAGATCAAGTACATCCTGACGAACTTGGGTGAGAAGATGAGCGAGGAGGAGGTGGATGAGTTGTTCAAGAGCACGATTGACGCGAGTAATAATGAGGTGGACTACAGGGGTAAGTTTTTGTTCTATCCTACCTTTTGAAGGATGTGTAGAAGGCTAACGTGTGCATGATCAGAATTTGTCAAGACGATTGCGGAGAACTAAGATGCCCCAAGTCGAGTTGAGTCGATGCCGATATCGAAATCTTTTTTTTGCGGAAGTTTCCCGCAGTAAGATGAGATGGCGGACGGACTACTTATTTTTTCTGTGAACGCGAGCAATGTCTGAAACGGATCATGGCTTTTTTTTCTCCTTTTCCTTTGGTTTTTTATGGCACGATGGGAGGCGTTGGAAGACACATGAACGTTACTACTTGACATATTACGACCATGAATGGGTGTGTAGTATCATATGCTTCTTCTTCTTCTTCTTTCTTCATTGTTTTGATATCAGCACTTTGATAAGGGGGTTGTGTGGAAATGGAGAATGAAATTTATCACTCAAGTTTATCTTTTTTTTTTCGTTTTCTTCACGGAGTGCATGTGTGATGTGATATTTGTGGCCAATGTGACTACTTACACTAAAAAAAAACTCTTGCAATTTCACCCAAAAAAAAAGCCAAGGAAATCAGTACTTAAAAAAAAATGATGATTCAAAACATATGCTAAATGAAGATTTTAAGGTTTAATCTCGGTATTCGGGTTTATCACGCCCAAGTGAACGAAACGTTTATCCAAATCTTCAGTTGTTGTGCATATTTAGAGAGTTTTTTTTGTGGTTGGTTGGATGTGCTTATTAAGATGGACTATGGAAGAGGAGGGAGAGATGAATGAGTTCTCTCCCGCGGTATGCAGGAAAGTGCACGTGAAATGTACGGGTGCGGGTGGAAGTCACGTTTGGGGGGGGGGGGGGTGAATAAAGTTTGTGAAATGGGGTCATTTGGTAATTTTTAGATTTCCAGTCTTTTCATGTAGAATGAGGGGGGCAAGGGAAGAATTAGAGTTTTGAGATATGTATTCATCAAAGGGACAAGGAACAAGGGATGAGATCTGGAGGTCCCCGCACCGCACGTAGCGGTGGGGTGTATATCATGTACCTGAATTTGCTAGACTACTTAGTGTATATCTAATCTGGGGTATCTGTCGCAAAGCGTCCGCAACGCTTCGCTTGGTACATGTGTGTGTGTGTATCTCCCGACTGGTCTGTCTGTAGAAAGAGGAGAGAGAAAAGAAAACCGCTACCGTATCCCGTATCGTGACAAGAAGAAAAAAAGAAAACGAAAAGATGACGAGGACATGACAAGAGGAAAGGGATAATTCTTTCATGGCTATAGAGATAAGAGAACAAGTCATGACGAGATGAGAAAAAGGGAGGAAAAAAGAAAAAAAAGAGGCGAGAAGAAAGGGAACGCCTGTTTGCCCGTGCGCCAGCCAGGATGCGGAGTTGGTTGAGATAGCTTTAGGTAGAATGGGGTGTGGGCGGGCGGAAAGCGGGGGAAAGTCCGATTGCGGAACTCCCCCTAACAACCCCTTACCCCATTGCGCACCGTAAGCGTGGGGAGGGAGGGAGGCAGGAAGGAAGGAATGAAGGAGGCTGAGTTTCTCTTTTTTTTGTTCCTTTTCGTTGCTATGCACACCATGTATATAATGTGTGACCGTGTTTTCGCTTCTGCATACAACAGCAAGCGAGATAACACCCTCCCCAAAGCGGCAAGCTGAGAATAGATCGATAGATGGAGCAGAAAGAAGTCGGCGTCGATGATCCTTGTCAGCCTCAGACCTTTACTTCGGTGACGTTGACGGTGCTGCCCATGGGATTTGACGAAGATGCAGCAGAGGCGGAAGCCATCTTGTTCGCAACCATGTCGCTAGTCTTGACGAAGCCACCCGGGAGCAAGAAGACATAATCTTCTCGCCTTCCGGTGCGATCGACGGAGAATTGCTGCCAGTCGAGCTGGTAGCCGACGACGAGGTCGCAGCGGCCGCAGCGCTGGAGATAGCGCTTTTCGAAGCCTGAGTCGCTGGTGATGATCTCGGCTTGGCGCTCTTGGCGGGTGGACAGCAGGAGGCCGTAGTGGTCGTGCGTAGTGGCGGAGTTATCCGCAGAGTTCTTGCGTGCTGCGGCGGGGGCTGGGGGAGGTAGAGGCATGATGTGTGCGGCGTCGTGGCTGTGGCGCCGTGTGGGCAGTGAGGGTAGAGGTGTGGTTGTGGCGAGGAGGAGATGGCTGCACAGACAGTGGTAGGTGTAGACTGTGTTTGAGGCCTGGAGGGAGATTTTCTCATCTGGGCTGGGAGAAGGCATGGCAAAGTATGCGCGGGAAGTGGTAGCGATATCCATTGCTGTAGTTGTAGTTGTGTGGTTGTGTGTAGTGTGTGGTGGGTGGTGAGTGTGTGATATATAGTAAGTCTGCTCGGGGTCCGATCAACGGGATCCGTAGAGTAGTAGTGTGGTGGGACGCCTGTGTGTATGGGGGCGAGCGTTTATGGATGCGAGTCAAGTCGAGTCCAATGACAGTGACTTGAATAAACAGTGTAGAGTATGTGGTGATGACCAGCCAGAGAGTAATCGGAGGTCCGACCACGGTTCTTATACTCTGCGCTTAGTAGTCGTTGTGTGTGTGTGAAAGCGGACCCTGATCCTAGTCTTTTCGCTGAGGCTTACGAGACAAGGGCAGGGAGTGGAACTGTGGGGATGCTCGAGTGCACGGGCGGGCAGGTTGATCGACGGCGGACACGACTTGAGGGTGCCAAGTCAATCAAAGAACGGAGTGGGATAGTCCGTGCAGGCGAGGCGGGCGGACGAGGTCGAGTGGGATGGGCAGCGTTGGTGTGTGATGATTTGTTTGGGAGGCCGCGTCGAGCGTGAATGGTCGGAGCTCGGTGCTTCAGCCAAGGTCGCTGATGAGACCCTTTTGGGCGCGTCCTGGGGTGGAGCACGACAGATGGCGTCTGGCAACTAGAGGGCGGCGACGAGTCACAGGCTCCACTTGCGCAACGGGTGGTGATAAGAGCAGAGCAGTAGTCGTGGTCCAAAGAGGCTTGGTTGGTTGGGGTGGTGCAAAAAAAAAACGGGCGGGTACATTGAGCAGGACATGGATTTATAGCATAGCAACGGCAAGCTGTCGTGAGCCAGGCGTGCATCGCACAGCGCGGCGTGGGCAATAGCGGCGGGCGTCGGCGGCGGCGTCATTACGAGTGAGCTGGTGTGGACAAAAAAAAAGACCGGATGGCGGGCAGGCCAAATGCGACAATGTCTCCCCACGGGTGTTTGTTGGCGTGGAATTGGCTGTGCGAATGGAGTTGCAGCAGACCACCACGCGCTGGCCGTGTCTGGCTCCCGGCAGCGCCGCTTGTGCTCGTGCCCCTGCCAATGTGCTGCTGCTGTTGCTGCTGCTGCTGCTCCTCCTCCCATGGCCATGTGATGGTGAGAAGGCGACTAGGGGCGAAGTATGCTTTGCTTTGCTTTGCTCTGGCTCTGCTCGCCTCACCTCGCCTCCCTCCACGTGTGCCCACCATGGCCGTCTGCACATGTCCCTATCGCGGTGGATAGCCAGGCTATGCTATTGCTATTACACCACTATTGCAGTACGGACCGACATGGGCCAAGGCCTGGGAAACTTCCGTCCGTTTCACGACGCTGACGCGCGCCGCCCGGCCGTGTTCCGAGCTTGATACCGTCGCTGTCTTGGGGCGGGCCTGCTTGGTCTTGGGTGCACATGCTTGCGACGCTTCGCTTCCGTGTCGACACTATCCAGACCGACCGACCGACAGACAGTCGCCAGAGTCGCAATGCCGCTGACCAGCCAGCTCATCACCTTTGGCTCCTTTGTCGTCACCACCCAGGTCCGCCTGCCCGCCTGTCCTCTGCCTCGTTCTGTTGAGCGGTGCAACTTGGCCATGAGCCAGCCAGTCAGACCACTGACCGGATCCCCTAGGTCTTCCACCTAACCCGTCTGTCCTTTGCCATAGTCAATCTCAAGCCCCTCCTGCCCGGTCATGTCCTCGTCTCGCCCCGTCGCGTCGTGCCCCGCTTCAACGACCTGTCTGCTGCAGAGGTCCATGACCTGTTTCTTGCAGTCCAGCGCGTTTCGCGCATGGTAGAGCGTGTTTTCGCCGCCTCGTCGCTTAACATTGCCATCCAAGATGGTGTTGATGCAGGCCAGAGCGTCCCTCATGTCCACGTCCACATCATCCCCCGCAACAAGGCCGACCTCGACCACAAGGGCGGCACCGATGCCATCTACGCCATGCTCGACAGCGACGACGCCAACCTAAGCAAGCAGCTCGAGCAAAAGGCCCGCTTCCCCGCCGTCGACAACGACAGCCGCAAGCCCAGGTCCGACGACGAAATGCAAAAAGAGGCCGAGTGGCTGGCCCAGGAAATGGCAAAGGATGAGCCTCCTTCTTCTGATGCTGCTCCTCCTGCTGTCTGAGCCACTCACTGCCTCCGACACTGCCGCTTCTATCTTTACCTACTAGAAATCAAATACCATCATGTTTGCTGCAACACTGTCGTTTTTGCAAAACGCCCGGGTCCACTGCTGCCTGGAATCGTGACCCATGGTTGGCCATTCTTGCACCCTCACCCCACTTGCCCATCCAGTTCAAAACCACGAGCTGTAAAATCCCCCCGAGCTGCATCCTTCCCTACTGGACCTCGCAAACACTTCTGACGTGCAACATGCCGGGAACCACCATGCCTTTAAGCGCTCCTTGCGTGACGTGCATCTTGTCTTTATCCATATCACAGTCGCGAGCAGCACTTTGGGAGTAGTTGCATCTCGCGTAGAGAAACTCCGAGCTGCCTGAGGAGCCAGGGTCCATGTTTGTTCTAGGCATATCTACGCAAGCCGCGCACGATCAAACACCACAGTCCCCAATAGGCTTTGGTTTTCTCCCTCTGCCAGCAGAACTGCGATACCGAATCTATTCGCTAGTGTTGCCAATCAATCTAACCATTGAACTCAAGGCTATCTGGCAAAAGGGCAAGCCTCTGTTTGTCGCCTATGACCTGGGACTGCATGCAGAGGATGCAGTCCCAATTGGTGGAACGACTTCCTGTTTGGATACACGCATCCGTCCCCCGTACCACCTCGCTGTCGAAACGCAATTATTCCGAGTAAGCAAGCTTGTCTCAAACGAGTCCCGGTGTAGTAAGTAGTACTAAAAGTCCCGGCAACGCACGTACCCTGCCCAGCTAAACAGTTACAGCCGTCCTCTATGGCATGAACACGTACAAATTCACCATCCATGGAAGAGCCATATGGCCCAAGTCGCTGAGGAGCCCATACATTTTTGGATCTCTTGGCCACCCTCTCCGACTTGCACTGCTACGCGACTTGCGTCGCATCCACATCGACCTTGTTGCTGACGTTGACAGCCACTGGGCAGTCAAGCGCCAACGAGCACGCCTAGAATAGTGCCTGGTCGACATGCTCAAGGAGCATGCTGACGACCAAAACCAAGGGTCCCTGTTGCAGCATCTCAGGCTCGACTTGCGCCTCGCCCGCGTCTCTGACCCCAGGCTTCTTCCACCTTCTCAGTCGACCGGATACTTGTATTTGCAATTTCTTCGGGCTCCGAATGCAGCTTTGTATACAAGGCAAAGGCGGCCAAGTGCAACAGACTGGCTGGCCACAATTTCAAGTGAAGCGCAGCCGGGGTAGGGGTAAGTTGGATAGTCGCAAGACGACGACGCACTGGGTCACATTGGGCAAATGGCATCAGCCTATGCTGAATTGGAGAGAGTTTGCTGAGCGCAATAATATTGCCCTTCCAGACGATATCGACAGGTTCTGGGCTGTAGAGTAGGACTGGGCAGATGGCTGCAGGCAGGCGCCCCCCCGCATAGTGGCCCTGAATGACATGTGACAGAGAGCCAGGATAGGCCCTTGCCAGAGCAATAGCATATCCGCCGTGTTTGAAAGAGCCGCATCTTGACTTACAATCACTGCTACATGTGCACCGTGACCATGACTCTGACTCTGACTCTGTCGACATGTCTACCGTCACACTCGTGCGGCCGTCGCCGTTGTAGCTTATTGACGACAGCCTCCGCCCCACGTTCGCTAAATGATTGGCTCCCGAGCATGACGCGAACATCCATGACATGCTCCGACCGACCGGACTCCCTATCGCGCCGCCGCACTTATCGCCATCTGTCCCCCAGACACATCCTCCCCATAGCTTGGTGATAGAAGCTTGGTTACTGTCTCCCTTGTTTCGTCATCTTCTACTCCCGGCTCTCCAGCTATCCGTCTCCTCTAGGCACTGTCCTCGCCTTTTGCTCCCCCGCCTCCCCCCTTTCAATCACACTATCAACGCCACCATAATGGCTATCGGCGATGTCCCCTCCAGCCCCCAGCAGGCTACGGTACCGCCTCAACCCATCGACATTGATGCCTGGACTGAGCAAGCAACCGTTGCCCTGGGCTCTGTAGCCATTTCCGTCCCTGGAGATGCGCCCCGGACTGCCTCGGTTACGCTTGCCATTCCGCTCGATGAGCACGATGCGCCCGCGGCTGCTGCACACCCTGTAGGTGCTTCAGCAGCCGCAAAAGAAGGCGGATACTATCGTCGCAAGGAGCCGCTTCGCCGCGACAGCATGAAGCGGCGCGAGGCCCTGCTAAAGGGAAAAGAGGGCTCCCGGCGCAGGCAGAGATGGGAGAATGGTACGTTTGCCCTTCTCTTAGATAGTCGCTTTGCGCATAGCAACTGTCCTCGCATAATACCTTACCCATGAAACATGCCCATAGATACAAAATAATTGATGAGTGACCCATCAGATCGTCTCCTATCCAACCCCCACGCCGAACCCCCTCTCCCAAGAGACTGGGAAGTCCACCCAACCCACACTCCCAAACACGTCCCCTACTACCTCGCCCCGCTCTGGGACCAAGGTCTAAACCGCCAATCCACCGACCGCCGCTCCGCCGCCCTCGCCCAAAAAGCGTCCCAGAAAACTGTCGCTACAAACCCTTCTGCCCCCGGTATCGTACCAAAGGAACTCCGCGACAAACTCAAGCGCTCCCGCGGCGCAAAGGGCTTGTTGATGGACCTCGAGAGCCAAGTCAGAGGCTTCGTCGCTGAGTGGCACGAAAAGGAGCGCGAGGCCGCCCACTTGGGTGTCCCTACTGATCCCGACAGCGAGGACGACGAAATTGTTTTTGTCGGCAGAAATGGGCATATGAATGATCTTTCCTCTCCTTCCTCTTCCTCAGTGCTCCCCGCCAAGAAGGAGCTTATGCTTTTTGATACTCCCGAAGAGGATGTAGGTGGCTGTTTTGGACGCTGGCTCGTGCATCACATTGGCGTCTACTATGGCTTGAGGACTTGGAGTGTTACGGTGGGGGATCCCGCGAGGAGGGAAGCGTATATTGGGGTTAACAAGGGGGTTGAGGGCGCGTTGCCTAGGCCCTTGTATGGCTTGGTGTAGGTGTAGGTGTGCATCGAGGTTGTGTGTATATATGGATGAGTAGGTACGCCATGTTGGGGCAACGTTACGCATATTCCACTCTTTCATTCGGGCCAAGACTACACAGTAAAGTATCATAAAGACTTGGAAAACCATCATACACATGTTCAATTTTCCTCATACCACATATCCCAAACCACGTTAGTCGTAAAAAAAAAGGGATGGGGAATAAACGTAATTATCCAAACTCGTGCCTTGTATACCTCAAACCCCAATTTCTCTCTCTTTATTCCTACTTAAAACGATGCAAAAGCCAACTCATACGCGAGCGCAAGCGTCATCCTCGCATGCTGGAGCATATGATCAAAGCTAAGATACTCAATCCTATCCTCAGTCGTATGGATTTTATTATCACTATACTTGAAATCCGACTCGATTACAAATGCAGAGGGGTAGCCTGCCTTTGATGCACTGGCGTGATCCGAGCATGCATAGCCGCATTTCGTTAGGACGTACGGGATACCGCAGTACGTGGTAATGATTTTCTTGATAAAGTCGGTCAAGCCGGGGTCCACAAAGTCCGTGATGACGCCTACGGACTCGGGTTCGCCTGCGTCGAGCGTCTTTTGCACGTAGCCGGTCATGTCTTGCTGCAGCATGGCTTTTACGTTGCGGTCTGCGTGCTCATAGGATTGGAAGATTGCTTGGGAGCCTAGCAGGCCGCCTTCCTCGGCAGAGTACCAGTGGAATTCTATCGTGTTTTCTGCTTCTCCCGCTAGGATCTCAGGGGATTGCAGGAGCACGCGGAGGGCCTCGAGGATGGTGACGGTGCCGCTGCCATCATCGTCGGCGCCCGGTGCAGCGAGGAAGGCGGGGAAGTACAGGTTTATGCTGTCTTGGTGCGCGCCGATGACGATCGTCTTATCGCTTTTTCCCGGAATTGTGGCGATGATGGAGGATTGGCCCCAGGGGTGGGGGAACGGTTTTACGGTTGCGTTGATGGCGCTGGCGTCGACGAGGGTTTTGTTGACTTGGCTTAGCAGCCAGGCTGAGCTTTCGGCCCCGTAGTGCGACTTGTAGTAGCGCGTGTGGAACGAGGTGAAGGTTTCCAGGTGGGCACGCATGTTTTCCTTTTTCAGCTCCTTGAGGAGCGGGTCGATGGCCTTTTGGTGGATGGGCTTCTCGGGGAACTTGACGCTCTCGGCAGAGACCTTGCGGTTCAGCGTGCCGAGCTCTTTGTTGTGCGTGATGTCGAAGAAGTTGATGTTTTGCTACAGTATAGTTAGTACCCAGTGCTTATCCAGTATCGTTTGAGATGACCTACTTTGCGCAACTCCCACTTTTCGTTCTCAGTCACCCAGCGCGTCTCGCCGGGTGAGAGCTCGATGAGATACTCATCTGGCTCGGCGATAGTGACCTGCTGCTGGTCCTGGAGCACAGCTTGATGATCTTGAGGCGATGAAACAGCTGCCGCGAGGGCAGCAGTGTAGAACGGTAGTAATAGCGTTGTTGACTTCATGGTTGTTGTGTATATGCTTTCGAAGGACGGTGAAGATTGTATGTTGTAAGGCGACTGGTTGACGCGGTGATACGGAGATAACGGCCAAGCCGCCCCAATGACGCGCCATCAGCTGTTTGGCGCTAGTGCAAGTCTAGCAGGAGGTCGCCGGTGTAGATTCTGGGGAAACTCAAGTTGAGCAGATGTCTTGTTCATCACATTGCATCTACACAATGAACCATACGGGTTCTTTCATGTCTATCTATGTATACCCCCTCTTGTGTCCATGACCATGTTCTGGTGATTGCATGGTTGAACTAGTAAAAGTGGTCCTTGTCAATACACGAGAGTCGGGCGTTCAGCCTCACAACTACTACTCAGGGTAATAACATGTACGGTCGAATATCATACCCACAATGTTATCCTTGATAGGTATGGTACTATGTTATACGTACATACAAAGTTTCGCTAACCGTCTACAACCCATGTCCGAATGTCGTCATCATACCACTTGTCAGATTAGGCCCCCAGACACCTTCATCTATTCATTCCCAAAACCTGTCAACTTATGCGTGTGATCTATTCCATTTATTGTATCCAAATAGAGATAGCTCTGATCCTCGCTTTTTTGTAAAGCTTAAATCTGGCCCCGAGGTCACATTCATCTGGGCATAGAAAGGACATCTCCCTCTACCACAGGGAAGCATCAAATCACGAAGATCAGTAAACTACTACATACTACTACATACTGCTACTAGTCTGAAACCACCATGGCGGAATCTTCTATTGTCCTTGTTAGTAGTGTTATTGATACGCAACAAAGCAACATATGCTAATCCTTGGCTGCACTTGAAGATTACCGGCGGAAACACCGGCATTGGTTACGAGACCGTCAAAGCATTGTATGCTTCGTCGAAACCCTACAAAGTCCTGATGGGCAGTCGCTCTCTGGAAAAAGCCAGTGATGCAATCTCTAAGCTCAAAGCCGAGGTTCCCGAATCAAAATCTGAAGTCGAGGCAGTTCAACTCGATATCGAGGACGACGCATCGATTGAGAAAGCGTTCGAGGAGGTCAAGAGCAAGTATGGTCGTGTTGACACTCTAGTAAACAATGCAGGTATGTCATGTCTTGGCCGAGTGTGATAGAACTAGACTCGTTTACTCGGATGGACAGGTGCATCCTTTGACAACGACTTGCGCAAAGATTCCAGTCCCAAAAGTATCCGCGCGGTCTGGGACAAAGCCTACTCGCTCAATGTCACCTCGACTCAAGTCATGACCTATACCTTTGCCCCTCTCCTGATTGCTTCGTCTGACCCCAGGTTACTCTTTGTAACCTCCGGTCTATCCTCCTTGGAAACCTGCTCTGGTGGTTTCGACTCCAAGCTTGTCGGTGCAGGCAAAGCAAAAGGCTGGCCCAAGCCTCTAAACCCAACTCCAACAGCCTATAGATCCAGTAAAACGGCGTTGAACATGCTAATGCTGAGCTGGGCGATGATGCTTCAAGCAGATGGCGCAAAGGTGTTCGGTATCAGCCCGGGATTCTTGGCTACGGGGCTGGGAGGAGTGGGGCCTGATTTCTTGAAGAATTATGGTGCAGGGGATCCAAGCATTGGTGGCGAACTCATCAGGGATGTTGTCGAGGGGAAGCGAGACGAGCATTCTGGCAAGGTTATCAACAAAGATGGTGTGCAGCCTTGGTAGATGTGCTGTATCAGGTCATGAGTGAGGTTGGGGTGATAATTATCCCTCGGAGCATAAGACCCAACCCGGTTCAATATCACACTGCATACATTCGCTCAGTCTGTAACAACGTGTAGAATGTGGCACTGCTTGTATCTGTACTCTCCATGCATTTCTTTGGCTCATCTGGTCTTCTTGGTATGCGAATGACTTATTATCTAGTAAGCACTTGTGCTGCATAATGCGGTCATGTCAAACACCCTAAATCTAGACCCATTGTGTGCTACGTGGGGGTAGCCGCATTCGCCTCGTCCCGCTTGTTCAAGTTGAAATCGGTAATCTCTAGCTAAAGCTCGCTTGATAATATAGAGGCGAAATCTGCAGGGAAAACGCTCTGGATCGTCGAGATATACATGTTATGCAGAAGTTATTCTAGCCCTCTCTGTCTCCGTAATCACATCCACATCCACAGTGACACCGACAGGCCTTGTAGATCTTCTCACATTCATCGGTACATCAGCTGCAATTGAGATGTGTTGCATAACAAGAGATAAGGGGGGAACTAGAAAGAAATAAGTGGAAAACGGTTCCCGTTGCCATGACCCACAGCGGAACAACTACCTTATTCTCGAAAATTGAATGGCGCCATGGGTTAGCCGTTAGTAGTGGAGCAAGACTAGTAAGCCGTTTGGATAATTCAGCCCTGTATTGGATCAACACTCGAATTATTTCCAACCTACAAAGCCTCTACCTTCCAATTTAGGTGATTTGTACCCATGTTGCCTAGATTCGCGTACAATTCAAGGGTCTGGGCTACAAAGTACCTGGGGGATAGACAGGCCTTGTTGCAAGACGCACCATCGGGGCCGTAAGCTCACGATTCGCATACATGTAGGAAGAATCAACATAACAGGTCCTGCTAATACTTAGATGAAGGATTTTTGTAAACTGAATTTGCGCCCTTTTCAAATTAAGTCTGAAGTTCAAAGTTCCGAGTTTTGCGGCTCGTTGAAATTTGGCCCCCACCCAGCCATCTTAACCGGGCATCTGGCCCCCAAAACACGGCAGGCAGATGGGCAACTTGCAGTAGTACTACACAGCATTGACATTAGTTCCCTGTCAGCCAAGTACCTATCAGGCTTCACACATAACTGTACAATGTATGGTGAGCTCTGTGGACTAGGCTCCGGCCCCTGCCTCAGCTTTGTACGATACCGAGGCGCATAACTTTGCACCAATGAGAGGATCCCCAAGAAGTAGGATTGGGAAAGTGCTTATTAGGATTACATCGAGCCGGGGAGTACGATATCGTCCCATGTTCCGGCGGTTACAAAAGCGACCGTTGGCAGACTTTATTCCAGTCTAACAAAATAAATACAGCGGATTCCCAAAAGCTGGCTCATACATTGAGACGAGGTCTCCTTCCGCCATGTCATCAGAAGACAAGTCGATCTATCTTGGACTCTGGACCAACTGGTCTCACGGGTCGGTAATAGGTCTAACCTACACAACCACACTAGACAATGGTGGCTTGTTCATCGCTTTTCTGGCCCTTTTCGTCGCGTTTACCGGTACATGTTTCTGGAGCATCATATCCTTCACCGTCCACCAAATCTTGAGTCGACCCTCTCCGCAGAATGCCATCTACCACCAGCAACAAGCTATTCTTCGCAGCTCCGACACCAGCTCTGCCGCACTATGGAGGTTGATAAGACTGTCATGGGCTTGGCGTAAGATTTCGTGCGCCGCCTCCTTGAAAGCAACGTCAGTACCGCTAGTTGCGAGTCTACTTACCTTTACTGCATTTACTGCAGCTGGTATCTTCTCTTCGCGTGTTGCCTCATCTAGAGGCAGTGAAGTGTTAGTTATTGGGAACAACTGCGCTACTGTGAACGGTTCCCTCATAACAAAGGATAATATTGCTATGACTCAATACTACATCGCCAGCCGAGTCAGATCGAGCCTCAATTACAAGGCAAACTGCTATTCAGGGTCAGATTCGACAGAGCTCTGCCGTACGTTCGTTCGAAACAGCCTTTCCGTCACAGTCACGCGTAGCGATTCTTGTCCTTTTGCAGGAAAAGATGCCATTTGCCGCAAAGAGAACGGGGCCATTCGCATCGACTCTGGATATTTGAACAGCCACCACGATCTAGGCATCAACGCACCGCCTTCATCTCGATTTCTCTACCGCACTGTCAATGAGTGTGCCCCTATACGCGGCGCGGGCTACGCACGGTTTAACACCACAAGTGTGCCAAAAACTATGCAACTTCTATATGGGAGCAATCAAAGAGTATGTCCAAATACAGAGAATTGTACTATGACATTTGGTTATGGAGTGCGAGTGGGCAGTACCGTATCACGCAACCAATATACAGTCACGTGCGTGCTCCTCTCCCATTATATATGTTTCAATCACTGACCTCATATGATAGGGCCGCAACTAGATGGCAGGTCACCGAAGAACTATCGTACCTTAATGAATGGGAGCCAATACCTGAGCTTGAGGTGCCCAACGCAGATATCAGTGCCCTTTTCTTGGAAATTAACGATGTTTTCTTCTCCAGTCCGGTGGCTGATCCTTGGTACAACGCACAAGCAGGACCTCGAAGCGGATCTACAGGCTTGGGAAACACGACTTTCTACTATAGCGACCAGATGGTGAGGACTCTTGGGTGCGCTCAGCAATATCAATTTTGCAATCCGTCGCTTCCCAAAAATATCAGCTGTACACCACTGATGGGGATATTTGAAGCTTCTAGACTGGCTGAAACAACACTTTTCACAGACCCAAAGACTAGGAACACCTTCCATTGGTCCTCGCTGGCGATCATGAATATGGCAAATGGTTTTAATGAGCTCATCACCATATTGCGAGGTGGAGCCCTTCTCGCAAGCGACACCCTCTCTGGAGTTGGACAATTTGCTCTACCTGACAACCAGTGGGAGCTTGAACTAGAGCACTGGTTCAAAACTACCCTTGCCGATCTTCAACGAGCAGTGCTCGACCAGGCCACCGGACCAGCAGACAAAACGGCGGCTTCTTTTCATTCTGGACCTACAACCGCAGAGGCACGCGCTGTCTGTCAAAACCAGAAGATCTTATCCGACTCCTACACTTCTTTCAACGTACTCGGTATAATTCTCATCTTCTCTATTGGTGGTCTCATCGTTCTCATCTCGGCTATTCTACCATCAGCGACTGCGCACTTACAGAAAAAGCGAAACCCCTTCGCCAACCTGGAATGGGTCTCAAACGACACACTGCAGCTTCAACGACTAGCACATGAAGCTGTGGGTGCAGGAGAGTGGAAGGGCGCATGCGACGATTATCCACGTACGCGAAAGAACGATCTCTTGGCCGTCCTCGATGTAGCCGACCGAAAGCACCCCGTGCTCAGAGTAGCACCGAGGGCAGCCGACACCATGGAGACAGTAGTCGAAGAACAACACTACGGCGTGCAGAAAGAGGACGATAGCATGAGGACACGAACATATGACTCGGCACAGACTTCTCTCCTCAACGTTGAGATTCCGCGCACGTCTTTGCAGCTTTCACGGCGGTTTACAGACGATGTATGTTAGTATGTAGTAGTCCGGCTTGGGTAGACTAGTCCAGACACTTTCACCAGATGGGGAAATACAATACGAGCAAAACTCCGAGTCGTAACGAAATAATAAAAAATGTATATTAGAGCAATAACAACGCCGTACTAGTCGCAAAGCACGCCAATCGCGCTAGATAATTACGTGACATGTGCCTCGGCTGATGCGATCTACTATTCCGATAAGCCATACTTGCATACATAAACATACATACTACATTTACCCTTTACCTTCCCTTACACACCCCATACTTTACAAACCTCAAGTACAAATAAATTCATTCCCAAATACCAACAACACGAGGACAACAACACGCCGCAGACATGGAAGCAGCGTTAAAACTCTTCTTCTCATCCCCACGCTTCGCCGTCGCAGGTGCATCATCTGATCCACACAAGTACGGCCATAAAAGTATGCTCCACATTCACATCTCCTCCTCTCTATAGTCTTTCCTCAAGCGTATGTGGTTACATAATCCCCTAACCACCCCCACCCTCAGTATTCGCATGGTACCTCCGCCACTCCCTCCCCGCCGTCCCCCTCAACCCGCGCTCTCCCACCGTGAACATCCTAAACAAAGACCACACCACCGTCGCCTCCCCAACCGCGCTTATCGACCCCCCTGCATCTGACTACTCGCTTTCCGTCATCACCCCGCCGAGCGTCACCAAGAAGTTGCTCAAAGAAGCGAAAGAGGCGGGGATTCCCGCTGTGTGGTTGCAGCCGGGCAGCTTCGATGATGAGGTTTTGGAGTATGCGAGGAGTAATTTTAAGGCGGCAATTGCGGGAGAGGGGGGCTGGGGGAGCGAGGGCTGGTGTGTGCTTGTGGATGGGGAAGAGGGGATGAGACTTGCGGGAAGGGAGGGGTCGAGGCTTTGAGGGGTGTGTGATTAATTGGGTTAGGAAGGGGGGTTTTGTGGGTATAGGTAGATGGTTAAATGAATTTCAAAGTATGTTGGGAAATTTGATGGCGGAGGGAGGCTTTGGTCATCTGATGTTGTGATTTGCATGAACGTGCGGAATGTTGGTTCGATTGCGATATGAGTTGAAGCCGCTTTGATCTGGAGAAGAGAAGAAAAAGTACGAGTTATCGTTATTCAGAGCGGGATTCAGAATCACAATTCCTCAAGTCATCTCTACTTTTTCAACAGCATATGGATGTCAACATTGTGAGAAAACGCACGCGGTATAGTATTGCATCAAGAATTGTTCAAAATGAAATATACATTCAATCATAACTCATCGCTATCTAGGCCAAAAGATCTTCAAACAGGCAAATTTTTTTACAAGTCCTTGGCAACGGCTTCCAAAGACTCCTTGAAAATGTTACATGCGTCCGTCAATTCTGCCTCAGTGATAGTGAGAGGCGGGATGAACCTCAGCACATCGAATACCGAAGTGCTGAGAAGAAGCATATTACGCTTCACACACTCCTGAACGACCTTTGGCGCTATCTGTGGCTGACTTTGCGCGTGTGTTGATGCAGTATTCGAAGACTCGGATTGGAGAGCTGGGTTCGCAAACTGTACACCAACCATGAGACCCGAGCCGCGGATGTCCTCAATTAATTTTCCTGCCTTTGTTCCAGATGCCTTCAAGTCATGGAGGAAGGAGAATATCTGTTTCGAACGCGCGGCAACGTTGTCCATGATCTTCTCCTCTTGGAACACTTTGATGGTTGCTGTTGCCGCAGCACATGCGACGGCGTTACCAGCATATGTTCCACCCATTGATCCAGGCTTTTGAAGATCCATCAGCTTCTTACTGCTTGCAATTCCGGACAATGGGAAACCGTTGGCGATACCCTTGGCGAAGATGAGGATGTCTGGTCGGACTCCAGAATCTTGTACGAACCACATGTTTCCTGTGCGGCCCATACCAGACTGAACTTCATCGGCAATGAGGAGGATGCCGTGTTCGTCGCAAATCTGCCTTAGGCCGTGCATGAATTCTGGGGGCGCAGGAACGTAACCGCCCTCTCCCAGCACAGGCTCTAGGATGATAGCAGCAGTGTCCGAGGGCGAGGTTTGCTGCTGTAGGGTGAGCCTCATTTGTAGCAGTGCTTGCTTAACGAGTTCTTCTTTTGGTGTATCTGCAGAGAGGCCAAACTGGCTGTAGTATGGGAATGCTGAGGCAAACACGCCGCCCATCAATGGTCCATGACCCTCGCCGTAGATGGTTTTGGAGCGTGTCATTGAGGCAGTAGCGTTTGTTCGGCCATGGTACGATCCTTGCATGACAATGATGTTAGGCTTCTTGGTTGCAGCGCGGGCCAGCTTGACAGCTGCTTCAACTGCCTCAGCTCCAGAGTTCCAGAGAAAGACGGTATCGAGAGACTGATGCGGAAGGATTGGAATCAGCTCCTTGATGAGTGCAATTTGTGCAGCGCTGAATCCAATGTTGACTTGTGCGTGGGTGATTTTGTTGCACTGTGCAGCTGCAGCCGCGCTGACTTTGGGATGACAATGACCGAGGTTTACAACGCCAATGCCGGCTGTCATATCGAGGAGCTTGACACCCTTGTCTGTAGTGATGTATGTGCCTTTTCCATCTTCGAAAACGTGCTTAGTGAGACGGCCAATGCCTCTCGCAATGTGCTGCTCTCCAAAAGCCGCTGTGTCCATATCGGAGGATGTTGGGCGTGTTGTAGAAAATAAGCGGAGAGGTGTTCGAATAGGTTTCGCAACGACCGGTAGAAGATTGTGATGAGCTGACAAGCAAACTCTGGAAAGGACGGCGGCCTTCATTATGTAGTCTTGTGGAGAAACACTAATGAGTCTGCCTGGAATGAATGTTCTTGATAGAGGGGTCGGCTTGACACGGTTTGACGTAAGGTAAGCTAGGATCTTCTTCCGTACGTGTGGCGCTAGACGCCCTACACGCGCTCATGTGATCGCTTGAACTCTCCATATTCGTCAAAGCACTCGCAGAAGCTTCTTCACTAACTCGTTCAAGAATTTGCAGGAGGCCGTCTTGCCAACAACTCAAATATGTGTTCTTCATTCGTTTGATCAAAAGCTAAAGCATGGGTCGTGATGTACAGCGATAGATTTCGGTGTTACGTAACATAGAGCCGCCGCCGGAGTTTAAGGCGCACATGTGTATGTTGCAACACATGGCAACCTGATAGGCCGTCTTAGTCTTATCATATGCCCATATCTGTGAGTAGATGTATGAAACTTCAAAGGGGTAAATAGCAGGAGTTGGTAGTCTTTGCTTTGTCAAAAACTTCCCATAACGTACTCCACCAGTAAGCTGGCCACACCAGTAAGCTGGCCGCCCCACCAAACCTAACGCGACGCTCTGCGCAATTACTTTATAACAACATAATAATATTAGATAGAATTAAGATATATTATTCTTTAGAGAGTTCTACATGAAGTCCGAGTAT